TCTAATCGCCTAAGCGATTAGGCGTCCGCCTAGGCGTCCTCTAGGCGAGTGGCTATGACAACTTTAATATTTTATAGGTATTAATATAAAAGCATATAATATGAAATAAGTAATTAAAGAGAACATATGAACCCCAAAAAATAAAGAGTATATATTCTAAAATATATGAATGAATGTTGTTTTTCAAAAAAATAAAATTTAAAAATATATTCAGAAAAATAAGTAAATATTTTGATCTTTTTAAACTTTTTAATAGTGAAATAATATTTGGGCCCAATGCTCTTTTAATAAACAACTATATTAATAAGTGTAAAGGCCCACTTCTGTTTTAATAAACTCAGCCCAAATTAGTTAACCTAAAATAACTAATGGAGAGTCAGAGAGAGTCTGAGGGTTTAGAGGAGCCGCTGGAGTCGCTGGATATCTGGGCAGTCGCGACAATGAATCAGCGTCGGCAAGTATGGTAAGCTCGATCTTCCTCAGTCTCTCTCTCTCTCTCTCTCTCTCTCTCTCTCGTCTTCTTCAGATCTTCTCCTCCTTCCTCTCTCAGCGTCTTCCAGTCATCTTCTCCGGTGTTTGCACAAAAAAAGCTAGGCGAGCAGTTTGGCGTCCATATGACCTCGCCCAGACGCCTAAGCGTCGCCTAGGCGACGCCTTGATAACTATGCTAGGGATTCATAACTTTTTATAACATTGATCCTAGAACATGGAAACAACTCTACAGCATATTTCACGATGAATCAATGCACAAAGGTTGAGATATCACCATGATCATCTTTGGGGATATCTCGTGAGAAAGAGTTAGGCACAAAGAGGTATGATTTTGATTATGTACTATGGAAGTACATTTGAGAATTATTTACTGCTCATGTTTGGTTGGGCTGGGACGCTGGGTTGGGTTTGGTTGCTGTTGAATAGAGACTCAGGATGTTTGGTCAGCAGAGAATACGCCATTAATCCATTACGGATTGTAACCCTAGAGTTTGGCATGTCTGAGCTCAACCCTTTACAAGACACTAATGAAGATAACTCAGTAGAATATCTATCTACATCTAAGTATCTCTAAGATAAGACGTCACATTTCAAGAGGAATTATTATAGGATCAAAGAGAAACAAGATCATAATCACGAATTTAGTGTGAATACTTCATCAAATTTCATAAAATTTTGAGTGTCCAGCTCCCCGTTGATTTCTGGTTTGAATGCAGCATTCATGTCATACAGCTTGTCCCACATGATACCCCTGAACCAAGGATGAGCCTGATACAAGTTGTATGTAATGAGCAGTGAAGAAACTGAACAGCTGGTGCTAAATACTCTAACATATCAAAATAGTACCTTGATTTGGCTGGCACCACCAGTTCCAAGTCTGTTATCTACATCACATATTAACCTACATATTAGATCCTTTGCTTCGGGTGACAATTTCGCATCTTCGGGAAATTTTAGGTGATTTCTCCAATGAACTATCTGCACCAGAATGTGATCATAATTCAAGATGCAGACATTAATGAAATACTCCAGAAACAAGTGGCAGAGGTCACTCAACAATTCAGTATGCTAATGCCTAATGGCATATGCATGAACTGCTGTTAACATGTTACGAAGATAGTAGATTTAAAATTTCAGTTACAAATGTAGAATAAATCATAAATTTTTCTGTTACAGGAGTGTACACAGTTTCCCCCATGATTTGCTTAAAAATAGAACAAATAAAGGCTCATGCATTGCCATCAATCATATGCAATAACACACATGCGCAAAAGGTAGGGCAATTCGAATAGCACTATACTCAAAAACACATTTTTTAAATTTACTTTTTAGTGATGATAACTGATAAGGAGCTGCTTAAAACAAAAAGAGCCCCAGATGGATAGATCGTGCATGTGTTTGTGTAGTTTACAGTACGCATATTACCTTCCTGCAAGTGGTTATGGGATCATCTGAGTAAAATGGGGGATAGCCAACAAGCATTTCATACATAATTGCACCAAGGGACCACCTGCATGTTGTGTAATATACACAGTCATAATAAACAGACAAGCTTCCAGTGATAACAAAATGGGTTGTCCAGTTGTCCTGAGCTGGATAACGCAAACGAATCAGTTTCTACTTCAGAATATGACAACAACAACAACAACAACAACCCAGTTGGATCCCACAAAAGTAGGGTGTGCGGAGGGTGTGTATGCAAACCTTGCCCCTACCCGAAAGTAGAGAGGCTGTTTCCATGAGACTCCCGTCTCAGGCTTTCAGAATATGACAGCAAATGTTATCTATAATACCAATTGATGAAATGAGCATTCATGTTTCCCATCTTTTATGAACCAAAGCAACAAATACTTTCTATCAAATTTAACATGGGGAAAAAGCTCACACTGTAACACAAAACAAAACAAAAAAAATGAGCCTTGATAGCAACCATAAGGTTCTTGGAAATCAAACTTATTCTGGAAAAAACAATATACGGAATTCAACTAGCATCTACTTTCAGTAAATGAGCACGACAACAACAAACCCAGTATAACCAAACTCGAGGGGGGGGGCAAGGTTTAAGCATTCTTAGACCCTTGATGCATTGTTGCATTTAATGTCAAAAACTTCATTGAAAGTAAGAAACAAGGAAAGTTTAAATGTTTAATGTGTCATTTTGATTTAGTCCATTATTTTCATGAAGCTAAACACTTATCAAAATGACACTTTTGGCTTCACTAAATGAGTAAATGCACAAAAATCTAAGAAAAACAATTAGGTAGAGATATGTGAAAAACTAACCAGTCACATTCCATGCCATATCCTTTCTTCAACAGAACCTCAGGGGCAATATAGTCTGGTGTGCCCACGGTTGAAAATGCCTTTTGATAGGAAAAGAGGGGGAAATGGTTTAAGAAAAAGGAGTAGTGTTTGCAATCAACAAAAGTTAAGGTCACAATACTGCATGATAAATGGACCATCGAACAAAGTAACACGATTCGTATAGGACCATCATACGTTTTAGGGATCTACCGAAATTAAGCCAACAGTTTATTGACACGCATCTTCTGTAGTCAAATTAACACTCCCACCGGTCCACAAATAATTTTAACACTTTCCTTTTTTGGCTGTCCCAAAATAAACTTCAAACGTCTACATTTTCCTGTTTAGAAATGAAATGTGTGCCCCACAATCCTTCTCTCTCTATTCAAATTTCAACCATCCCCTTTTTATTTTTCAACATTTTTCTTAAACTCCGTAAAGTGAAATACCGAAGTTTATTTCAGGGTGGAGGGAATATTTATTTTGTTATCATATCACATTTCCATTCAATTGGGCATTCCAAAAATAAAACCATATTCACAAATCAAGTGTGTAATATTGGAAAATAAACTCGTAGGCTTAGCAGCAACAACAAGCCAGTTGGATTCTTGGATCCCACGAGTGTAGGGTCTGGGGAGGGTGTGTGTATGCTTAGCATGATTGAAATAAATAATGTAGTATCTAAAAGCTAGAGAGCATAAGAGGCATGCATTTGATCATAATTTGATGGGACCCCTCTCAATAACTAAGCATAACAAGGACGAAATACAAAATCTCAAAGTTGATATTCATTTCTGAACTTCCCATTGGAGTGACTACTGATTACACACACAGATATTTCAGAACCAAGTAAGATTGAGAATACGTCATACCAGCTTCCGTCTGTTCATTTGCCAATGTTGGAGTTGTTCCCGTGGACTTCTCCAGCTACTATTGCCAGCATCAGGGAAGCCACCATCAATGTCCATTGGATCTCTAATGTTCTCATCACCCATAGCTTCATTTTCATTTAGAGTAGATAGAGTTCTACAATCAAGGGGCTTACAAAGACCAAAATCAGAGAGCTTCATGTGACCATTTTTATCCAGAAGAAGGTTATCAGGTTTAATATCCCTGAAAATAAAGAAAGATGCATTTAATACAAATGCAACACACTTAATTTGGATTACTAAACATGTGAACAAAAGGAATGCAATAATAGTTTCAGCTCCTAGCCCCTCCTACATGGTATCTCTCAGAATTAGTATGTCTTAAATAGAGGGTAAGACTAGAATAATAATAATTTTAAATTCATGTACACAGTACACAAAAGTTACCTTTTAACTTTAGGAGACAACAGTACCTAAATCAGTTACAATAACATGTTAGTTCCTACTAAGACTTGACATTTCTTAGTAGCAATGACTCGTACTTTTTATTCATCTGGAAGCTGCAGTTCTTGTAAACCAAATTAATTAAAGCGACCAAATCACATAATGAGGCAGAGAGAGAAGTGAGAGGCCGAAGAAGAAGGGTGTGGACTGTGGAGCAACCACATCCACTAATGCTGCTATTCAGGAGGATAGGGGTGGGGATGGACATGGGTGGCTTTGATTTGCTCTGCTGCGTACGTAAGTAAGAAAGAGATGGGGAGAAGAAGGTGAACTGCAGAGTGAAAGAAGAGAAGAGAAAGTGTAGAATATTTAGGGTTTTGTGGGCATTTAGGAGAATTTACACCTAATTTTGTCATTTAACATACAGCGGCCAAAATAAAATGGTCACTTTCTGGTCCGCTTATCTTAATTTAGTAATATTGAGTTCATGATTCCTTTTAAAATACAATTATGCTCAAAGTTCCAGAATCTGAAAAACAAACCTGTGAATATAGTTATGCTTGTGAATGGACTCTATGGCAAGTACACTCTGGGCAATGTAAAACTTAGCCACGTCCTCACTCAGTGTATCCTCTCTCATTAACAGAGTCATCATATCACCACCTGGTAGATACTCCATCACAAGATAAAGGTATTCGGCATCTTGGAATGAATAATACAGTTTCACAATGCAATGACTGGCCACTTCTGCCAATAAATTTCTCTCTGCTCTCACATGTTCCACCTATAAGATAATAGGTTCATTAGAGGGGGGTAATGAATGAAACACATCCAAATCTAGAAAGGTACAAACTCCTTTTACCTGTCCTCTTGTGAGCATTTCAGATTTCTTCAACTTCTTCATAGCATAAATGTTTCCCGATTTCTTCTCTCTACATAACCTGACCTGCAATGTAATTTTGGAAGAAGAAAAAAATCAAAAATCACATACTTGGCACTAGATATGCACCCTAACATTTCTTCACAACTGCCCATCAGCATCTAGAACAAAGTTGCCCATGATAAAGCCATGTGCAAATTGATTCAGAAGTAATTAAAGCTATGTTAACTAAGATTTGCAAATTAGTCATGATCAAAGTCACATACACTAACTAATATCATTGTGAAAAAATCACGAACCTCACCAAAGGCTCCTCTACCAATTATTGTTAGAAGCTCAAAGTCATCCACACATATCTTGTGCCTCCTAAGCCTCATGTACTCGGTCTCTTTTCGTTCTAGATCCTTGATCAGATTTAGTTGCTCTTCTTTGGGCACATCAGAAGTAGCTAGTTTTCTTTCGAGAACCCACCGCCTTCATGTAAAAAAAAATTATTCAATATTAAGTAACAATACATGTAAGTGTCACATTAACAAGTTAACAACAAAACAACAAGTTGCCGATTTTATAGAAAGTGCTATTTTCCATCTTCCAACATATAAAAAAACAATTTGGAGGATAAGTTTCTAATTTTTTCCAAATTGTTCGAATACAGACAATACAGCGAAACATAATTTCAATTTTTTCACATATCATCACCATTATAACTGAATACCACCCACCAACAGTCCAACTCTACTCTTGCTCCCTTACTTGCCACTATTAACTACCTACCCAATGCTCCTTCTGCCCAGTTCTCTACCTAGGCTCTATGCAGTCTTTTGAAACCACGATTTTGCTTTAGTTGGCTTACTACGTAGATTATCTCCTAAGGCAGGCCAAGCAAGCCTGATGTGGTCCTTTTTTTTCCGGGTAAAGTGACATAATTTTAATAATACATTATTCTACTTTGCACAACAAGTGTACAATAGACACTTATTATATAGAATGTGATCGTTGAGCTCGTTGACTACTTGTAGCTCCTTCAATTCTGTCCTTGATGTTCGATATCATGTTAATTGAGTTGAATTCTTTTTTAAATTCATCGGTGCGACTAACATGGAATGTTCATTAAAGACTGTAAAATCTCTAGATGTTTAATTCCATAAACAATTGTAACCACACACACACACACATATATATATAATATCATTCAAGGTGGCACCTAGGCAGCTCGTAAACCTCACTAGTCATCACCACCACACTCGGTGTGTAAACCTCGCGAGTCACCACCACAGCCTTCATTACTAATTTACTATCATCACTTTCATCGGCCCTCATTTCTATAAAATTACCTACATGTCATTACAAAAAAACACCTCTATGTAACACCCCACCACAATGCCAACATTAATTGATCATCATTACTAATATACTACTACCAATTAGCACACCTGGTATCTTAATGTATAAAAAAAAGTTGAACAACAAATAATTTTCAACAATAAACAACAAGTATTATCCCAAGTAATTTAGGGTCGGCTAATGCAATTGAATTTGACCATATTTGCTAGTCTTCCAATAAAAAATGAACAATTGGGATTTTATGGAGAATGTCTAGAATGAGAAATGAAAATGAAAAGAAAAATTACTACTTCACTAGTTTTTAAAAAACAAAAAATTGAAAATTTATGGAAATGTGCACTACAATTTTTTAAAATACATTGACTAAACAAGCCTTAGAGATCCCGTTTACCGAAGTAAACTGCCAAGTGAGAGAATTTTACATTGGAACCTAATAGGGAACCAATTTGTAAGAAAAAATATGAAACGATTATGTAAGTGAGACACTTCTCTACACACACACACACACACATATTCATTAGATTTTCACAATCAAAGATATAAAGTTCATTAGCAAACCAAGTGGAAACGTAGTTAAAGCGCTTCTGTAATTGCACAGGTGAACGAATGAATAAATTTCAAATCTACAATAGAACATCGGTTTCAATTATTAACGGCTCATTTGGCTCCATTCTCTTTTTGGCCGATTCTGTTTCCAGAATTGGCTGTTAGAGTTAACTGATTCTGGAGAACTAAGCAATTGATTACTTCTATAAATAGACTCTTTTTCAGAGTCTAAAACAAACACAACACTCAACTAATCCTGGGATGAGATTATACAAAATCAGTTTTTTGAAATCAAAGCCGGGTGGCTCCCAAGTCCCCATTTGCGCTCCAAAAAAAATGGTAAACAGCTTAAATTCAGATACGCCATCCTTTTTTACATAAAAATCGTGTGTGTGTGTGTTTAAATGTTCAGTTTTTCATCACATCCATCTAAACATCTAGGCCTAAAATAATTCTGCCAGCAATAGGCAAATGAAACTTGAAACTTTCCCTCTTCTATGCGGTCATGCATCGCAAACCTAACACGAGCACACAAGAAGTACCTTCTATATGTAGTCTCCTAACACTATAGACTCTCCCCCACCCACTCACACAGTCACACCACCACACCAATGAAAACAATTCCTATGATGAATTACTTCCACATATATATATCCTCTTTTTTTTTTTGAATTCATGGATTACAATTATGATTCAGAACACAGAATAACTAAACCCCAGCTTTATTTATAAACTTCCGAATTCACCCAAAAAAAAAATCATCAAAGCAACGTCGGGAACACACTCCAGATCTCGGAAAACAGCAAAAAACGAGTAAGAACAAAGCCAATTTCGTTCAACACACGAGCACAAACTCACCTCTCTTTGCGTTCCTGTATGCTCTTCATCTGATTCCTGTAGTGGTTCTCGATGAATTGCTTCGCGGCGGCGACTTTCTCCATCGTATAGCTCGAGCCAAGCACTTCCTCCTCGCCGTGCTCCTCCTCCTCCATCGTATGCGCGAACTCGCTCTCTGTGTCTGGCTGCATATCCATCCGCAACAAAAACAATTTATAATCCGCTCCAAGGTAAATGATTATAGTATATACATATGTATATGTGTATGTATATATGCGCAGGAAGTGTTCGTGAAAAGGTCGGGATGGGAGTTTACCTGAGCAGCAGCGGAGAAGACGACAGACAGGGGAGGGAGCAGAGAGGGAGGTGCAGTGCACGCGCAGGGCGAAGGGTTTGGATCCACTGCTGTGGACAGCTCCGCGGGGGCGTTCTATTAGTAAACAAATGGACTTCTTTTTGACAGCTGGCATTTATTTCTTTTCTGTATACACCAGTATTTTAAAATGGTTTTTAAAAATATATTTTACAATATAGTCTAACAAAAATATTTTTTTATGTTAATAGATAATACGGAGTATTAGTGTAAAATATACGGAGTATATTTTTTCATTTAGGTGTATTTGTTCAAGTTGAGTTTTGTAAGTTAAATTTAATAAACTTTGATCGTCAACTAAATAAAATCTGTTAATAAATTAAAATGGGGTTTAAAAATATAATTTACAATATAGTCTAACAAAAATATTTTTTTATGTCAAAATATAATACGGAGTATAATTTTTATTTATGGTGTGTTTGGTTGGGCGTAAAATATTTTTCAGCAAAATTTTGATTTCATTTTCTTGTGTTTGGTAACATTGGTGGAAGAAAAATATTTTCCTACCAAACAATGGAAAACAAGATTGAAGAATAATTTTCCTTGGAATTATTTTTCTTTTGGATAATTTTCTTCAGGAAAATATTTTACCTCCAACCAAACATAACTTTAATTGATGGTCAAAATTTATCTACTTTAATTGTAGGGGACATGCAAGAGAAACTAAAGAAAACTAAAAATTACATTTGCCTTCTAGAAATCATCTCTACACTTTTTTTTAAAAAAATGATATCATCTCTACACTTATTATATTTGGATGTTCGGAAATTATTTTCTCACAACTTTTTAGGAATATTTAAAGGCATTTTCATTATTTAATCATCTTTATACATACAAAGCTAATGTGTAAAATTAAAGATGAACAGTGAAAATTTTTGCCTAGATGTTATGGGCTCGGGTTGGAAATGGGCCAGAGAAATGGGAGAACGGGCCGACATAACAGAATGATTTCCTTAAAATTTGTACTAATTTATTTATATTTTATACAAATTCAAATAATTAGACGTCATGTTAATTTTATACTCCCTCCGTCTCATTTTATAATGCCTGTTTCGGTTTACAATGTTTGACTAAAATTATTTTCAAATCATTTTATATGACAAATGGTATATAGTTAAAAAATAAAAAATTACATATTAAATTACTACATCAAAAGATCTACAAAACTAGCAGTGACAATAGAACTTTATTTTATCAAATTGCTAACAAAAATTGGGAAAGAATGTGAATGAAGTTTGACCTTCTGAATAGTGAACAGACATTATAATTTGGGACGGAGGGAGTATTTAGTTATATTTGAATTTAAATTTATACATTAATTCTATTAAATTTGTATTCTTTATATTTTAGATAAATGATTGGCCGTACAACGCACGGGTAGTCGGGTACAAAATCTAGTATACATCAATTACACTACTCCGTATGTATTATCAAATAGTCGTTTCTCCAATAAGGTTCTATTCTTTTGGGTTGAAAAATTAACTTCCAACTTTTTTCAGTTTCTTTCAATAATAACTTAAAAAAATATTTATATATGATGAGTATACAATAATATCATATCACCACAAACACGCACTAGGATGAATTCTTTTTATATCCAAAATTAGAGTTTTCTTACATTTTTATTTGGATGATCATTTAATTGAGTGACTTTTTAACATTTTAATTCTTCCAACTTCTTCTAACTCCTTCCAGCTTTTTCCGAGTGCTTACTGTTTCTTTCAACATCCAACTTTGAAATTTCAACCTAAAAGAGCAAACATCTCCTATTTAATTTGGTCTAAATCCACCAATTTTATATTAAATATACAAATGTGTCTTTTTTGAGGGAATACAAATATGTCCTTAAATATTGGTCTGTTTATAAATTTCCTCTTTTATACTTTCAAGAATAAAAGTCTCAATCTAACATAAAAAGAGTAAATTTAGTCAAGAAAGAAGTGGATATAGCAACACCTTAAATATGAATAGCATTTTTTATATACTCCAAAAATTAATATTATTTTTACAAGTAAAGATGAATTTAGGATAGAGAAACAATGTCATTGAATTTCTTTTCTCGGAATGTCCACAAATAATGTTCCCATTTTTTAAAAGTATGCATGTATTAGAAACAAAAGTTTTTTATTCGTGTATATAAATTTTTATCCCATAATTTCACTATTTTTAAACTCATTCTAGAAACTAAACGAGAATTTTTAACACAAATGGACTACAAGAAAGAAATACATTAAAGTTCTATTTGGTACATGGAATTGATGGAATTAGAATTGAATAGGGAGTTGAAAGTCTATGAATTGAATTGATTTGGATGGAATTGAATCCTCCAATTCCAATTCATTTTTGGCACTGCCAATTTTAAATCTGCAAAATTTTGTGCTACCAAACAGCAGAATTGGAGTTGTTATCCCCAATTCTAATTTCATAGTTTTAATTCCGTGTACCAAACAAGCTCTAAAAGTACTCATGTAATAATATTTACATGAAAATAATACTCATGTCACCTACTATAATATTTGAAACATGGAAGAGTGACAAGAGAAAAATAAAAACGTGTTGTTAAAACTGAATTCATAAATATAAATTAAAATGATGAACAATCATAACAAATAGGATAAATCTATTTGTACCCCAAACTTTTGTACCCCATTTTGTACACCGCAGGTTTGCACCGACATTTTGTGTTGGTGTAAAACAAATTTTTGTTAACGTACCAACACTTTGTGTCCGTATAAATTTTTGTTAATGCACCAACTGTTGTGTCAGTGTAAACTATCAAAATGTTTGTGTATAACTGCGGTGTACAAATGGGGTACAATTTTTGGTGTAAGTGTAGCATGGCCCTAACAAATATAATGTAATTTGTACTCCATAATAAAAGAATGAATAGACCAAAATGAAAAAAATACGAAGTACAAAATAAGAGTTGTATTAGGAGGATACCAAAAATTAGACAACGCTTTGACATCAAGTTTCTCACAAACACACAAAAAGTTGTTATCATCTGAAATATGTTTGTGAAAAAAAAGACTTGGTATCACTATAGTGTCAAATTCTTGGTATCCCCCAAGCATTTTTGTACAAAATAATGAGATATATAGAGTGACTGCTAATGATGAGTTAATGCCATTGTTTCAACTTCAGTCTTATAGAACATGTACAAATTTGATAAAGATTCCTCTTAGCATCAAAATATTCATTCGTTTTTTGGCACGGAAAAACACGAAAAGAGGATTTGATTCAGCCCATGAAGAAGAAGGTATCGATATATATAAACTACATTTCATGCTAGCACAAGAATGGAGAATTTCAAGTAATGGACTTTCCTGCCCATTCTCGTTCTCGGCGCTTCTGCTTCACTTGCATTTTATTGAACTTCTCTTTGCCTTTCTCCCAAAGTGGGTCATGCACCAAATAGTCATTCGGGTCATTGTTGCGCGACATATTGTTCTGCACAAGATGGAACCATTGAACACATCAGTACAAGTCTTGCAAAGTCGTAGATTTCAAATCTTTCTTATATTGTAGTTATTTCTATAAAACAAATATTCAAGTTATGGAGTAATTAATTGCAAAAACAGACTCAAAATTTGTGATTTTCTTTTTTAGGGTTTCAATTATAAAAATAATTTTTTGACAGTTCTCAGCTTTTCATATTCATGATCTTTGATTGATACCTAAAATATGTTTCATGCCCTAAAGCGATGAGACTCTTTAAACGGGGCATAACGAAGTTTCCAAGTAAGGCTCTCTTTTGTTGCTGGGAGGATGTATAAACCCTATTAAACACATAAAACATAGATACAAGGGGTAATAAAAGAAGATGAGAGAGATTTTACCACCTTTGAAGGCTCGGGGTCAAATTTTAGCTTGGCAGATGCCCAATCAGATAGGTCCTCGCCCTTTTCTCCATCATTTTCACCACTAAAAGTATGCGGCTTTGAAGAAATCAAATTCTTAAACTTTTCTAGTTTCGCTAACACCTGGAAAATAGATATGAAGAGTCTGAAAAAATGCTAGAATTGAAAGGAGATATACTGCACAACCTCATTATTGAATTTATAGTTACATCAATCGTATAATGGATCCTAATCCTGCACCACCAATGTGAAAAATGTTTTTGTTCCCCCAGCAGATGGGTTGACAAAACTAGTCTCTTCAGGTTTTGTTTTTCAATTTAGACTTATTACGGAGTATTTCACAAATGTCAAGAACTTGGTAATGATGCCACTGAAGAGTACAAAATTAGAGACTAAAAATGCCAAAAATGCATTTTTTAAAGGAAAAAAGAAGTACCAGACAATTAGCATTTCAAAACTCATTTTCAAAAATTTTAAGAATCATCGCAATGGCACAAATTTATCGGATTTCCAACCCCTGATTTCTTATTTCACGTGACTTCAGGGCTAAAGTTCTCGACATTTTGAAGGTAATGGGTCTAAATATACAAAAATCATATGGAACTACGATCACCAGCCTCATATAGTTATAGGACCCAAAAAAACACATTTTGGCCGGGATTGGTCATGGGTGTTCTTTCTAAAAATACCACAATCCAATGGGTAAAATTCTCATTGAAGGCAACATTAGAGTAAGCTGCATTAGCAAGATTATCAAAAAAAATGTTGGTAGCATACCACATCTTCCTGCCCATGGCGCCTGCGCCGTTTTAGCTTCAACGAGTGTCTATCGCGTTCAGTTCCATTTAGTAATTGCAGGTCTGTATCAGCACAAGCCAAGCGTTCAGCCCTAGCATCGGACCCTATTCCCTTTTTCTTTATAGACAATTTTTCAATTTTTGGTCGGTCATCATATTCTTTGGCAGACCTGAGTATACATGTGGGAATAGTCAAAAGAAATTTAACATGTCACGAGAATGAAGTCATAACTCAAATGTCACCTTCTTGTCAGATCTTATAAACGTTTTGGTTGAATATTTATGTTTTCTTATACTAGCGTCTTTCTTCTATTATCCTTCAGAAAGGTCTATCTAAGATACATACATGACATCAGCCAATTGACAGTAGTGACTCACTAGCCTGCTAGTGGATTGTAAATTTCAGAAGCTATCCATTTAGAGACTTAGAGTCAACATATAATGAGAGAGACAAGGGTCTCGAAAATTTCAAAAGGAGAAAAACCAGAGCACCTTGAAGGAGACGAGGAGCGCGCCCTTGTCTTGGAGTTCTCTGAATATTAAAAAAAAGGTAAGTTTAGTACTAGACAACACTATGAATAGTAAATCTTTTTTCACATCACAATTTATATAACTTATACCCATGGGAAAAAATTATGAACACACAGCACATAATAAGCATATGCCCATCATAGTAATCAAGGCGATAGACTAGGCGACTCTTCTTCTCAGTGAAGTTTTTTTTGTTTTTTTTTTGGTGAGTAAAACATACGTAATATGTGTTCTATGGAGTTTTTTTAAAAGGAAATCTGCTTTTTTTTTAAAAAAAGTAATATGTTATCTATTCTTGTTTTCTACAAAGTATATGCTAACTGCGGGCAGGTATTGTATTTCATACTATATGCTTTTACATTAGTACCTATAAAATTAATTATTTCATAGTATATGCTTTTAGATTAGTACCTATAAAATTATTAAGGTCCCCATAGCCCACTCGCTCAGGGGACGCCTAGGCGGGGGCCTAATCGCCTAGGCGATTGGAAGGTACTCTAGCGCCCAGCCTCGCCTAGCCGCCGTAACAATTATGATGTCCATACATGTACGGAGTATATGACTATATCCATAATGCATATGACCATATGTATACTGTATATGACTGTATGTATAGTGATTAACGTCCATAAATTGGATTCTAATATTCTAACCTTTTTGCAACTTCTGCTTGCTTGGCATGTCTCCAAGTTCCTTTCTTTTTTCCAATATCTGCCTACGCATCCGTACATCAAAGCCAGTATCGTCATCATCATCATCTTCTTCACTATGGGATTGATGAGGTTTTGCGTCTGGTTCTCTTGCTACTGCATTCCCCTTTGAGCGCAATGCTTCTTTGACACTTAACTGCACATCCCTTCTTATTTTGTTCTCAGATAATGTCTGCACCAGTAGGCAGCCTTTAGATACATGTGAAACACATTGCAATTCATAAGGTTCTTAACTTCTTATTATCTGCAATAAAAACACAAACTCATGTAAAGGTGTATAATATTATAGCCTAGAAACTGAACCTTAAAACCAGAAACTAAACATGAATTATAAGAAAAGTTTGCTAGTTAAAGTGAGGTTCATGGTATCCAAGTAATCCAACTCTTTTAAACATAGTAGATGATACCACGGGTGTTCCAATTAATTTCTGCATTCCTTCTCGTTAACTCACCTATTGGCCATCACTATTATAAGCCAGGGGGGTTTCTCCCATTTTGTTTATTTTGAAAAAACTTCATCTTTGGGTCTATATTGACGTTACGGTAACCTAGAGTTGAGACCTGATCGCCCACGATTTCTTTTGACTTGTCTATAGTGTATGAGAAAATCATAATCAAAGTACCATCATGTGTTGGCATGAAGCCCAATTGAAGATCAACTAAACCACTTTGGACTGTGCCTATATGAAGGTCTTAGAACGTAAGGATGTGAGCATTTTCTAGAATCAATTTGGTTTCATGCCTGGCTGGTCAAGTCAACCAGTGATGCCATTCACCTCTTGATGGAGGGGACTTATGGAGAGGTATATGGACAAAGCTATGGACCTACACAAGACATTCATTTACTAGGAGAAGACGTGCAACATGGTCCCTAGCTCGTTAGAAGGTGACTCTAAGATGGGGTCAGGTTACATCGTGGACCTACCCTTAGTCCTAGTCCATGTTATTTGCTGGCGACATTGTTCTGAATGACGGAGAACTCAATGGTATTCGAATCCAAAGGTTTTAGATTTAGCATGATTAATACTAATTACATGGAATGTTGTTCCAGTGGTGGGACAATTGAAACGATAAGAGGAAGTAAGACTTGACTCACATCCAGTGCGGCAGTGCCTAAAAGGGGAACATTTAGGTATTTTGGATCCATCATTCATGACAATAGGAGGACTATGGGGTTGTTCATCGCATTGAAGCTGTCTGGGCAAAGTAGAAGCTAGTGCCATGTGTCCTTAGTAACAAGAAGATATCAACAAACATGAAAGGGAACTTTTATTGAACTGTGGTCAGACCGACAGAGCAAAGTGTTGGACGATGATGATGAGGATGTTGAAGTGCATGGATGGATAATATTCAAAATGAGGTTAATCTGGGAAAGGTGGGAATGGTCCCTGTGGAGGATAAGCTGCGATAAGTGAGACTGAGATGGTTTAGTTTAGCTGTTTAGGCACGAAATGAGGAGTAAGGAAGCCCGAAGCCCCAATGAGATGTGGGAGGGGGACATGAGGAGAGCAAAGTTAGACCTAGGATGAGTTGGATCGAAATGGAAGTGATTAGAGAGGATTTACAGCTTCAGATCTTATCCAAGATATAACCTAAGATAGAAACGTCAGAAGGTCTAGAATAGGGTGGTTGGATAGATCTTCGAGCTTTAGTTTGTAGTTGTGGTTGGTGTGCTTGCACCCCTTAGTGAGTAGTCGTTGCATTTGTGCTTTGCGTATGTGTTTCTAATGTATATATGTGTATTTTCTATGTGCTCTTACTCTGTTTGGGCTGCTTTTGTTTGTCTTTCAGCTCTTGGGTTTTAAGTGGGGAATATCTTGGAAACAACATCTATGTACACATACACCCAGCTCCCACTTTTGTGAGATTTTACTAGGTATGTTGTTGTATTATGCCTATTTATCATATGATGCGCTTTTATTATCATAGCCAGGCACATCTGGATTTTGTACTAGTAGTTACATTTAAGCAAAAGTTCTTCTCCAAAAGGGTGTTGGGTTTAGCTTGCTATTCTTTTATTTCAGGAAATTGTTCTACATGCAATCTCATATACACAAACCCTTGTAGTCTTTTCTCAATAAACTTACCTGTATGTCTGTTGACTTTAAAGAGTCAGAATCTTGTCTAATTTGAGTCACTGATCCATGACTTCTCCGTTCAACATATTTCCAACTCTAAGTCTCTAACTAATTAAACCTTGGGTCTTAACAAATTAACCCCTAACGAGCCCTTAGTTCAAGATAGTATCAACTCGAACTGTTTAAACATTAACCTACTAGTGAAATAACATAACAGCATACAAGGCATTACCAAACATTCATCATGGTTTTCTTCCTTCAGAAGGCGTGGATCATCCAGTATATCATGACTGCTTTTTATCCTGACATTGATTGCAGACGAATCTTTCTCCTCTTCCTCTGCTTCTTCGCCAAATGAAAGCAAATTCAAGTTTCTGTGTACAACACAGCTAGGACTTGTGACTTTGATTATGCCATTATACAAACATCAAATAAATAAATATATAAATACATTCCACTATCAAATGTTCCAAAAAAATAAAGAACGTACTTTTTAGGTTTCCGCTGTTTACCCTGATGGTCATTGTCAGCTAAAGGCACTAAAGCACTTTTAGGTGTTACCCGTGGAATAATGTCATCAAATGGGTTCCAGAATACCTGACCAAATATATGAAGGAGAAAAAAAAACTGAATAAGCCATTGGATACGATTTTGTCCTTGTTAGATTGGTATAAATTTAAAATTTAACAATTTAACACAGAAAATGAACATAAAGGCTAAAGCCATCAAATGATGGGATAAAGGAATTTTCACGCAAGTGAAAAAACATGTAGGTGCTATGGTGTTTGTTTCATTATTATTATTATTATTATTATTATTATTATTATTATTATTATTATTATTACTATTATTTATTATTATAGGGGGGTTAGATAAATGTCCAGTTTTATCAGATATTAAGTACAATTCAGTGTCACCTTTATCGATGCCCCATTTGAATAGAAAGTCAACACAAAGCAAAGTACTAAAGCATTATCATAAATTCCAGGAGCAAACTGCCTTTGCTGAATAGTCTTGGTTCATCAAAAAAGGTGTTGTGCATGCTTATATTATTGAAGTCTAGCAAAAGAAGAATTGCATGCTGGGCATTAGGGGGGAAACAAGTATGCACCTCAATAGAAAGGATTTTAGGGGGAGGATCCAATGGCCTGTCATCATTGTCAGTTTCAATTTCGCCGATACTCAAAAGATTGTAAATTGAATCCCCAGTTACCTACACAAAGGAAAATGGAAACGGGTGATTGCCAGATCAAGTACACATTTTGCGGACATCGTAGTAATCTGAAGAGCCTAATCATTGGATAAGCATACCTTTCCAAAAATTGTGTGCTTCTTGTCTAGAAAATCACATTTATCTAATGTTATAAAAAATTGACTTCCATTTGTATTGGGTGAGCCGGAACCAGCACATGCAACCAAACCCCTGTGTTTGAATCTAAGGCGGGAGTGGAATTCATCAGGGAACACACCCCCATAGATACTCTCTCCTCCTGTATTAAGCAATGACAATTGTGATGAACTAATCCAAGCAAGAAATGTAGGAGAATTGTAGACATGGTAGTCCCTCCCTAGTCCCATGTATTTGTCCAATTTCCAAAATTTGTATTTAAAATGGTAATTTGCCTATTTTTCCCTTTCAATATTTTTACCACTCCCCCGGTCTACTTAAGGAAAGAGGAAAACTGAAGGAATGAAGGAGAAAAATGGAAGCAATGCAGGACAGTTTAGGTTTCGTTTTCGGGTCAAAAGGCAAAAGCCTTGGCTTTTTGGTAAAATTACCGCCATGCGTAAAAAGTGCACTGTACTAAAACTGCGGTGTTTGTATTTCTTCACTATGTATTCGAACAATATTTTCATCCCCCAACTTTTTGTACTTCTTTACACTTGTTTCCCTCCCCACCTTTTAGTAAAAGTAAGGGTTAAATGGACATACACCCTTCCCTATCCTTCATCCTTGGTCCAAGAGCCAAAATGAAAGCCGACATAAACATCGCGATGGAGGTAGTATTTATTTTACAAGGTTGGTTACAAATCTTGAGCATATGAACCACAAGATGAGGTGATAGGTGCATATAGAGTTGAAAATTTTAAGTAGATGATGGTATTTTACTAATACAGCAAAAAGATCAAATCCAACAGTCTTCTTGTGAGGGATAGAATGATGTTAAAGAACTTTCACATGGTGCAAACTGCAAACAGTATAATATAGTTCATTCCATCTATTCTACAGCATGCGGAATAAATACTAAGTAAAGAACAAACCCCAATTCAGGGAACAATGGCGTGTTAGAGTTTGATGCTGAAAAGGCAGTTATGCGTGGTGTACTTGGATAGATCGGAATAAATGATTTAACCAAACTAATTCCAAATGTTTTTTAATATTTGCTTTATTGTACTGAAAGAGGTCTTCTGCCATCAAAGATTATTTCTCGCGTAGTTTAATCAATCCTCTAAACTGTTTGACTTCGGGTTTTATTTCTCAAAATTAGCACTCACCAATTACTCATTCACACTCATTGCTTTAATCTAGGGCTCATTTGGTTTGCTTTATACTTTTGGCCAATTCCGATTCTCATAAACAACTTTTTAAGAACTAGCCAGTTCTGATAAATCAAGTTGTTGATCATTTTGGAAAATCAGTCGACTGATTCTACTCATCTGAAACTCATACAAAACTACCATATTCTAGATTAGAATTGAGAGATGCCCAAAAAAAACATACCCAAATAAAGCCATGATGTTCCACACTCCTCGCATATATAGCATAACAACAATAGAATATCTCAGCAAGAGTATGTAATCGCTCCACCCCATGTGGCAGAAAGTAGTGGAAATCATTTTTCATGCATGACATGGGCATGCATATTGCCCATGATGACATGATCGCGTATGAGTTAATGAAATACTTTCACCGTCCCATATGAAGTGGTTCACATTATTTTCTCTCCTCTCCTCTCAACCATACAATTTCAACTTTCCTAGTAACCTTTTGGAACCTTATTTTGGCCAGAGGAAGTATAACATGCATATACCCTATTCTCTAGGACTTAATTCCTCCAGATAAGACTCAAAATCTAAAATTCCATGCTCAAAGTCTCTATGATTCCCTGTGAACTCTATGACTTATTTCCTCCAGTTACCCCACAATTACACAATACCCCATTTCGAACATTGACTAAACCAAAAAAATTCTTCTATAAATTCCACTAGTACATACTCCGACAGAAAGAACTCGAACTAAAGCAAGAAATTTAAACTATAATGACCTGCATAATGATATGCAACCCAGCTAATGCAGTTCACTAGAAATTTCAAAATAAATAAATAAATAAAATTGTAAAAATCAGATGAAAATTAGAGATACCAGTGCCAGTGCCGGTTGGATCACCCCCTTGAATGAGGAAAGATTTGATGATTCGGTGGAAGATGGTGTTGTTATAGTAGCCTTCAAGGCAGAGCTGCACGAAGTTTCGGACAGCTTTGGGGGCCTCTTTTGGCCAGAGATCGACGTCTAAAGGCCCGTAGGTTGTCGTGATAATCACCTTGCCTTTCGTCGGCGGCTCCAATACGTACACCGTCGACATTGTATAGCCTCCTCCTCCGTCACTCCGCCTTGACGGATTATTGAGGAAAAAACAATCTGACTGCCCTAGTTGCTTGGTTGGGAATAGTGCTCAACTTGGTGGAACTTCTCAACCCGAACCCAATCTTAATTGACTCGACCGAACATTAAAATATCCAAATCCGAACCTAGAACAAAGTAATTCGAACTTGGCCCGAGATTTTTTACCTGAACCCGATATCAGGTCGGGTCGGGTATGGATTTGTAATTTTACCCGACCCAAACCCAAATATTTATAACCTAAAACGCTATCTACGGATTTAATGAGCACTCTGTATAATTTTTTTAATTCTCAGGTGTAACCGCATCTCTCTCTTGGTCCTTACATCGCATCTCTGTGTGTTCTTCATTATTATATGGTTCGTCCTTCTTTGCATATCTGTTCTGTCTACGGTCTTGTTCGCATTTCTAATAACGCAATCGTCTTGACAAGGTGCTACCATATCAAGTATACCTTTTATAATTATTTTCATAATTACTCAATCAAAATATGAGATACAAATAAAGGTTCAGATACGAACTTAGATTTATTCTTTTTAAAATTCTTGGGTACGTGGAATTGGTTATTGGTTAACTTGCAGATTCGGGTTTGGTTTCGGGTTTAAATTAAATGTCGGGTTCGAGCCGGGTTGGGTTTTTGGTTTAATATTTGGGTTTCGGGTCGGGTTCGGCTGTTGGTTTTAAAGGTTGGGTCGAGATCGGGTATTGTACAATCCGGCCCGAACCCAACCCATTGACATCCCTACTCATTATTAGTATTAGTACTCATATTAGGATTAGGATTTCGCTTAAGGTTAGAATCAAGATTTGAATAAGGGGGATTAGTATTAGGCTGGAATTAAGATTAGGGGATTAATATTCGGATTATCATTAAGATTTACATTAAGTATATTAGCTTGTGCGAAGCAAAACCTTTTTCACATTAGCTTCTAAACTAATAATTTTTGTGAAAAGGTTCAGCAATTAGGCGTAGATTTTGGGTGCACGGAATCACCACTCGGCGAAAGGATATCTGAAATTTTGTACTCTCCTTCGCTCCATCGAGAGTATTTTATATTTAATATAAATGAATTTGATCTAATTTTATAAAATTCTAATATACTTTGATTTTATTAAAGTTTGGTCTAGTCTAATTTAATTTTAATTTTATTCAAAGTTGTCTCTCGTATGAATGGTTTGATCTAAATTGATATAATCTGATATAATTATAATAAAAATAAATTTAAAAGAACAAGTTCTAAGAAAAAGGGCAATATGTTCGTGAGACTTAAATTGAGCATTAGTCGAGAGAGTGATATGTCATGGAGTAAAACTCAAATGTGAGTAAACTTCGTGTGCTGCTCTTCTTTCTCTCGACCGGTTGAGCTACGTTTAAAACCACTTTACTTTAGTAAGAAACTTATAAAGTGAAATATAACTACAGAGTAAAACTCAACTCATTATTTTGTCACAAAAGACCTTGTATTGTTTCGCTTTTTCACAGGTGCAGTTTTAGGAGTTTGCTAAGGGTACCCGAGCTTCATGTACCCCAAGTGTACATCATTTTCTCAATATACACACAGACAGCTCAAGTGTTTTTGAGAAGTTGGTGTACACTTGGGGTACACCAACTCGGGGTACTCTTAAGTTTTTCCATACTTCTAAATATAAAAAAAGTTATCCCCTTCATTCTGAATAAGATTTCTCATTTTGAATTGTATAAAATTTCAGAAAAGTAAACTTGTATTGTTGAAAGTAATGCAGAACAAAAACAAAGATTGTGAAGCACATCAATTTTTTTTCCAAAATCTAAAGAGGAGTTCTTTTTTGGATGTCTCGAATAGGAAATGATTGTAGGACCTCATGCGCAACTCTTTTAAAACTAATTGGTGCTAGAAGAAATACATACTCTAGCTTTATGGTACATACTATTATATATCCAAATTTTATTATTTCTTTAGTTAAATTATATTTAATTTATAATCAAAGAATATTAGTGTTTGACTAAAAAGTCAAAATATGAAGAATATCATCATTGAATCTTTAGTTTGGAGAGAATTAGATTTAAATGGAAAAAGTTGGAAGAAATTAGATGAAGATCAAAGAAAATGCCAAGTGTTAGAATATATTGAGTATACTATGTATTTCAACATTTTCCATTTTTTATTTTTGTTATTTCAAAAGTATAATACTCCATTTTTTCTTTATTTTTCATCTTTTCCCAATATTTTTTGATTACTTCCAGTTATATGAATTTACTTTTATTGATCTTTGTTTTCAAGCTACCGTAATATATTTTTTCGAGACGAGCCGACAAAGAGAGTATGTCATAAATTTATTTAAAGCAAGTAATCATTCAACTGAAAACTAAACGGGCCATCGGCCCAAGCCCAACCACAACATTCCACCAACACAACTAAACCCTACGAAACATCATTAGATTTCCACAAGAGTATATAAACTTTCTCTCTGCTCTCCTATTCGCCGATTTTACCCACCGTTCTTACAACATCCAATCCAGGCGTTCTCCATCGGCATTCTTCGCTTCGCTAAATCTACTTCTGCCCTTCTCATCGCATATTCCAAAACATCAATCCAGTCTTGATTCAATCATCCAGGTTCGAAACCCAGAATTTAGATGTTCTTCTTTAATCACATATGATTTCTAGTTATATGGGGAATCATCACACATCATCTTTATGAAAATTTGCATCTTTATATGTTCTTTTTTTGAAAGTTTGCATCTTTATACCGTTTTTTAATGTAAGTTTGCATCTTTGATGATTGGTACGTGTTATTGTCTGTGTTCTTTGATAGTCTGATTTGATTTCTGTGATTTACCTAATGGGAGATCTGTTTGAAGCTAAATGTTATCTGGGGATATGATCTGATACCCGGCATATGCTTTTCTTTGTTTGTTTTTATCCTGTTATTTTGTTTGGCACATCACATTGGAGGAAAGGATGAAAGTTAACTTTTGATTGGTTTCATGTGAAAAACCTCGTAGCTTTGGTGGTTTCATCCGATCAGGACGAAAGATAACTTCTGATTGGTTTCATGTTAAAAAGTTCGTAGCTTTGTTGTTTTCATGCAATTTTTTGTAACCTGTATTTATTTTATTTTTTATATAGTTACATCCTGCAATCATGGCTGGAATGGCACCTGAAGGTTCTCTATTTGATGCTAATCACTATGATGCTAAAATGAATGAGCTGTAAGTTCCATCCATCCTTGGCTTGATTTATACACACAGCTTATAGTACAGGAGTAGTTGCTTCCTCCATCCAATAGAAGTCTTCTTCTTTACACTTTCACATAGTTAAATAAAAAGTGTTCTTGATGTGCTGAAAATATTTTTCGGATTTGTCAAGAATAGAGAATTCTTTTGCGCCATATATTCTTTTCATTAGAAGGAAATTGTTTTTTCTTGCTATGTCCAAGAAGGAAAAGTGTTCAGAATTATGCGTGACTGAGAGTAATATCTATTAAGTTACATGTATGCACACATTATTCTGTTCATGATTAAATATTGGTGTTTGAATTGTTCAAACATTGGGTGCAGGCAAGCTGATGGACAAGATTTCTTTACACCCTATGATGAAGTTTATGAGAGCTTTGACAAGATGAATCTGCAAGAAAATCTTCTAAGGGGCATTTATGCTTATGGTACATATTCTGATTTAAGATTCCTTTTTTTTCGCTGGATTTGATTCAGATGAATGATTGGTTCTAGCCACAGAATTAAAATACTGCCCTTCTCATTCTTGAATCATCAATCCTCGAGAACTTTATCATGTCCCATGTAATGATACGTTTGGATCCCAGAAAATACTGCTAAACATATAAAAGGAAAGGATGTTTGTTTTTTTTATTTTTGAAGAAAATGTGATAATAACACAAAAAACTACTGCCAACAAAACAACAATGGACCCTGTAAAATCCCACAAGAGTAGGGTCTTGGGAGTATGTGTTGGCATACTTTTTTCTTTACCCCTGCTTGGAAGTAGGCACCTTTAAGTATTAAAAAATCTACATTGAATTTACAGCATGAAGCTCTATTATATTTTCCACAAATTTATTTCCTTCCCATTAATGAATTATTATTCTGCTTATTTTCTCACCCTTATTCTTTATGAGCATTCCATCATGCTCCTTATGGTTCCTTTGTGCCTAATAACAAATTTGCAACCTAAAGAGGTGAATTTCACTTGTTTTTAAAGGTTTTGAGAAGCCCTCTGCAATTCAACAACGTGGGATTGTGCCCTTCTGCAAAGGTCTTGATGTCATCCAACAAGCACAATCAGGGACAGGAAAGACAGCAACTTTCTGCTCTGGAATTCTCCAACAGCTCGATTACTCCTTTGTCGACTGCCAAGCACTCGTTCTTGCTCCCACACGTGAACTTGCCCAACAGATTGAGAAAGTCATGAGGGCGCTCGGTGATTATCTTGGTGTCAAGGTTCATGCCTGTGTGGGTGGGACCAGTGTCCGCGAAGACCAAAAGATTCTCCAGAGCGGCGTTCATGTTGTGGTCGGGACACCCGGCCGTGTGTTTGATATGTTGCGCAGGCAGTCACTTCGTCCTGACAACATTAAGATGTTTGTGTTGGATGAAGCTGATGAGATGTTGTCCAGGGGTTTCAAAGATCAGGTTTTTCTTCCCTCACAAATTTATGGTCTAACCCGTGTCTCTAAATCTTTATATACGTCTAGATTACTCATAGAACCACCTTAAAGTTTAAGTGTTTGTTTGGCCCTAGTGGATTGAAGCCATTGTTTCAAGAAGATGAGCTTAAAGAATCCTTTCTTATTTTGTTGCAGATCTATGATATTTTCCAATTGCTGCCACCAAAGATTCAGGTGGGTGTTTTCTCAGCCACCATGCCACCAGAGGCCCTGGAAATCACCCGGAAATTCATGAACAAGCCTGTACGGATTCTTGTGAAAAGGGACGAACTTACCCTTGAAGGTATCAAACAGTTCTACGTCCAGATTGAAAAGGAGGAATGGAAGCTCGAAACCCTCTGCGATCTCTACGAGACGCTGGCCATCACCCAGAGTGTCATCTTTGTCAACACGAGGCGGAAGGTTGACTGGTTGACCGACAAGATGCGGAGCCGGGACCACACGGTGTCTGCCACCCACGGTGACATGGACCAGAACACCCGTGACATCATCATGAGGGAATTCCGGTCCGGTTCATCGCGGGTTCTGATCACCACGGACCTTTTGGCCCGCGGCATTGATGTCCAGCAAGTGTCTCTGGTCATCAACTTTGATCTCCCCACCCAGCCGGAAAACTACCTCCACCGTATTGGTCGGAGTGGGAGGTTTGGGAGGAAGGGGGTTGCCATTAACTTTGTGACCAAAGAAGACGAGAGAATGTTGGGTGATATACAGAAGTTCTACAACGTCACCGTGGAGGAGCTGCCGGCAAACGTGGCGGATCTTCTGTAATTTGTGGCGGTGATGGTGGTGGCGGTGGGTTTTGGTTTTGAAGAAGAGTTGATGTGTTTATTTTGAAGCTTCTCTTTTTTTTCTTCATGTGTATGAATCTTACTATTAGTACTGCAAATTTTGTTTGCTTTGTTTTTTGTTGTCTTTTTGTCACCTAAGGATCAGCAAGTATCTGCCGGACTGAATGTTGATTTATATTTTTAATGATGACTTCATTGCTTCTTTTTATTTTTAATATTGCATTATTGTCTCTTGTTGGCTGTAGGGAGTATATTTTTCATCAAACAATTCTACAGTTTTGTATAGTATCATAATGTGCTCAATATCACAACAAAGATTTTGATAACAAAAATACACTCATATAGCAAATTGAGGCATTACAATAGTTTTAATTTTTTTATTACATTTGGTACTTGGGTCATTCCCAAAAACAAAAAACTCCAAAAAGAGCCACTAAATATTTCAGAAAAAAGACTACATTAATGGATACTCCAAAAAAGAAAATGCAAAAAATAAAAATAAGGGATAATGAAGTGGCTTAATGGATAATCCACTTTATTATTAATGGAAATATTGGATTGTGGAAAGCAATCAGATATTGTTTGGAACTAGAAAAGTTTAAAATTACAATTACTGGTAGCTTTTGTTATATAATTTCTGGTTATAAATAATGAAAGGGATAAGAATGAAAACAAAGTAGATATGCATAGATTAAATCACAACAAATTAAAGATTTGAATGTTAAAAAAAATAAAAATTCCTCCCATTTTGAATGGAGTAGCAGTTGATTGCATGATCAAAAGCATTAATGACAATTAAATTAAATATAACTCCCTAAAATCTACTAACCACTGCCACAATAATTCATTGACTTCCAAACTCATATAAAGACAATAGTGCACACTCATGTGTGACACAAAATGGGTCCCAATCATATCTGATTCAATTAGCAAGTTGATTGCTTTGAATAGCCAGTCCCTCCTTGTGCTGCCAGCTCTCATGAGGGGCAATATGGTCATGTGAAGGCCTATATTGCTGCAATATTGTCATTCAAGAAAACAAAAGTGACTCACTTTTCATGACAATTTGCCAATTCATAAAACAAAAAGGATGAATTCTATGTAAGGGTCCGGAAAAGCAAGTGAATAAAGTTTTAATGAGAAAACTTGTAAGATCTTTTTCTGATACTAATAGTCAGTCAAAATCTTGTAAGGAGATCATAAAAAGTCAAATGAGAAAAAAGAAATATATGACAGACATAATATATATATATATATATAAATATGTGTGTGTGTGTGTGTGTATATATGTATATATATGTATGTATACCTCCATGTTGTTTAAGAGGGCAGAAGCATTGGGAGCAGAGAGGACAATGTGGCGAGCAGTAGCCTTAATGAAACCTTCCTCTACTCCATTGTCAAACAATGCCAACAATGGATTGTAATATCCATCCACATTTAACAACCCAACCTGATTATATATTAAATAAATCATTTTTTCAAAAAAAAAATATATATATAAAATAAATCATGGAGTAGTAATAATAATAATAATAATAATAATAATAATAATATGGCTGATGGAATTTAATCTACCGGAATAAAAATAATTGTTAATTAATGAATTATACCGGTTTTTTATGGATTCCAAGCTGTGCCCATGTAATCATTTCCAGCAACTCTTCCATTGTTCCATATCCTCCTAATTAACCATTTCAACACACCAAAAAGATAATGCAAGCCTTAGAAATATACATTCCACATTACTATTTGCAAAAATAATAATTTTACAGGGATTGCTTAACTAAAAAATGTTTTGGAGGGACCCAAAACGTACAAAACTCGCTAATTTTACAAGGATAAAAAACATATTTAACACAGAAAGAAAGAGTTTAAGTTTGTGATCAGAACCTGGAAGTGCGACGAAAGCGTCTGCCTCCCGAGCCATTTCCGCTTTGCGTTCGTGCATATCCGCAACAATTTTCACATCTCCAACGCTCTCTCCCGATATCTGTCACACCAACAGATGAACAGAGAACAATTTTAATTTCTTAACTTAGGCTCTTTGCCCATACTTTTGAAAAAAAACCTCTACTTTAAAGTAGCAATAGTATTTGTTTACACATACTCTGTTTGGACCTTACTTTTCGTGAGATTTTACTGGATCTATTTTTGTGTCCGTTTCTTAGGTTAAAGTTAAACCCCCCAAAAAAAGAGTGGGATTGGTAATTTAAATGTTGCACATAAATTGGAGAAGATTACCTCAACAGGAACCAGTGCTTGTGGAATCACCCTGCATAATAAAAAATAATTTGGAGATGAAAATTGAGAATAAATAAGGGAGATAGATAGAAATGTCACCTAAATTTGCATTTTTATTAATTCTCATTCTTAACACATAAAATAAATTGGAACGGAAGGAGTAAAATATTACTCCGTACCAAATACTCCATTGTTAGTTTGACTTTTACGAGCTTTAAAAAACGTGATGCAAAGTGAAAAAAATGTATGGTTACGATTTATTTATTTAGATGAGAAAAATCTTGTGAGTCACATATTCATTAGTAACAAAGGAAATAAACGAAGTACTTTCTGAAACGTCCAAAAAGAGAGTGGGTAAATTTCTTTGTGAAAGGGTAATTTAGTAATTTACCCAAGAACATGACAGCCACCATCATAGACTGCTTTAGAAATCAACCCCATTAGGCCTACACTTCCACCACCATACACCAAGTCTATCTTCCTATTTACCTGCAAAATTAATCCAGTGAATTAAGAGTAATACCCAGACAACTAAAACATGTTTCATATACATATATCAAAATATGACATTTTTTTATACTAATATAATGTCAAATAATGCCAAAACATAATACTCCGAATAAAAAAATCAATTTATTGTGTCTATAAGCTGCATGTTTTAGTCAGTGCTAGAGAGCTATAATAATTAGACTTAATTATGATAGTCTTTGAATTTTAGTCAGCTTCTATTATTATTATTATTATTTATTATATCTAATTGTGCTTATAATCCCTCTTATATGTAAACTCTGATTATTCTCGATTATACGGAGTATTATTCTTTGAGTAATACAACTATTCCAATATTTTATATAGGAGGCGAGTTCGAAACTCGACGTCATCCAGTTTAAAAAAAATACTGTTCAAGTGCAAGGCTTGATCAAAAAACAAATTCTCGCCCGCACATGAGAGGTGTGTTAAAATATAAAAATATTTTCCAGGCCTCAACGAAAAATTAAAGTTTTTGGTTGAATCGGTTTTTTGACAGTTAAATTTCTTCACAAAAAATGGGGGTGAAAAGAATTGTGAGTAAATAAAAAAAGTTAGGTGAAAAAATAATTAGATCTGATTCCAGTAGAATATGACCCAAAAGTAGAAGAAGAAGAAGAAAACTAACCAATTCATTGCCAAGCTCAAGGGCGGCATCACTGAAGACCTTTCTGTAGCCAGAGTTGCTTCCGCAGAACACACAGATTTTCTTGAAATTATTATTATTACTATTATTATTATTATTATTATTATTATTGCTCTCCATTCAATATTATCTCTCAAGAAACACTTTGATGTTAAAAATTAATCTTTTCCCCCCGTGTCTATAATCCTTTGAGATCACAAGCTTTGGTTTTATATAGATATATGTGTGTGTGCGTGTATTGTGTGTTGGGGGTGTGAAAAAAGAAAAAAAAAGGAAAAGAAACACACACAAATAATAATGGAGGAAATACAAAGAGACAAAAGAGGGGGAGTAAATTCCATAATTGGCCCTTTATAACATGGGGGTTTCCCTATTTAGTCCTCTATTATCAAATATTACTCCAATAGTCCTTCTTTTATGTGTATCTTTCCACAAATAGTCCTTTTTTTTTATCTTATATCATGTTGGTGTTAACTCGAAGGCTAAAAGTATAATTTCACAATGATAATATATCTTTTTTGTCATACACAATTCAAAGGCTGTTCCGTTTGCATCGTTTGTGAATTACAATCGTTTTCTACTACAACCATAGTCTACAAATGTGGTATTTCGTCGGAATTCTAGCCCACAATCACAGTCATTATTTTTGTGCTATCCGCTTAACCAATATCAGAACACGTCACTAGACATAATGTTGATGTCAAATTATACTTTTAGCCTTTAAATTAACACCAACATGGCAGAAGATCAAAAAAAGGACCATTTGTGGAAAGACACCCGTAAAAAAAGGACTACGATGGTAATATTTGATAATAAAGGACTAAATATGGAAACCCCCTTGTTATAAAGGACCAATTATGAAATTTGAGGCTAGGAGCACTAGAAATACTTTAGGACCATGCTACATGTACCACATATTTGTACCCCAAAGCTTTAACCTGACATTTAATGTAGGTGCAACACTGACATATTACCAGTTTTGCACCTACATTTAATGTCAGGGCAAAACATTGGGGTATAATATGGGGTACATGTAGCATTATCCAATACTTTAATGCGGGGGAGGCGTTTTTTCCGATTTTAACACCGCTGGCGTTAAACACCGACCACCTCCCCCGTTAAACCAGCGCTATCTTGGAAGCGTCAAACATTTGACGCTATTTTGTTCAAAAGAGTCGTTGGCAACCCCCCCGCCTGCCCCACCGTGGCTGTAATGCCGTTAATATTTTTAAAAAATTCTTTTCCTGCTATAAAATTTATTCTTTTTTTAAAAAGTTCAACGCACACCACAAACACAAATCTCTCTATCCTCTTTCTAAAAAAAGAAGTATTCAAGTATTTTTTATTTTTAACATAAATCCCTTCGGTTATAACGGTCTTTCGTTCGGTCTAAAGCCAAACGAGCAAGCGATGTGAATTTTTCAATCATACGGAAATAATTCATCGATGTTCGATACGCAAACTTCATTGAATCTTGAGGATCCGGAGTCGGTTCTGGAGACTCAACCGGAACTAAGTGCACCAAAAAAAAGTACACGCAAGAAGAGTCACAAACCAAAGGGTGAGAAGCCGATGATCGATCGAGGCGGCACGTTCTATTCAAAAGTGGACACTGGAGGAAGAATCGTTGTTGGCATCCGCTTGAGTTGACGTCTTCGAGCATCCTATCATTGGTAAAATTTATATATATTTTAATATATATTGTATATATGTTCTTTTTTTATATTTTTTAAAATTAAATGTTCTTTTTTCATTTAATGTAATATTTTATTTAATGAATTATTGTCTTTTAGATTTAATTAATTAATGAAGTTTTATTAATTTAAGCCACGGGGCTTCAAACCTATTTTCAGTGAGACTGTGAGGTAAGTTAAAGATGACGTGGTAGAGAGAATAATTTTGCAGCCCCGGAGCTTCACGAGCATTTTCAAGCTCTAAGTGGAGATGAATGAACTATTGATCTGCGCCCGCGAGGGGGCGATTTTGGGCTTCAAGTCAAGCTATTTGAGACACTATGTTAGTGTCATTTATTTCTCTTTGGGTTCTATGAAGAGCCATGTGGACTCGAGATAGAGGTGGGTTCAGTTTTTTAGGTTTAGTTTTTCCCTAAAATCAAAGACAGAAGAAAGTTAATTTGGTCAGTTCGGTTTTTCAATAAAAAAGTGAATGATTGGTATTTTGGGTTAAGTTTTTTTGCGGTACAATCCTCGATTTTTTTTGGTCATTCAATTTTAGAAAAATGTTTTTTAAAGCATATTACATTTATCACAATAAAAAATTACAAAAAAAAACTACAAATACTGCAAGTATCCATTAACAAAATAGCAATTACAACTCCCAAAACTTGCAAATGTCTATCCAATAACAAATTGCGGCAAAAAGGAGGCTAAACATTAACCAACATAATTAAACTTGCAAAAAAAAATTTAAACAATAATATATGTAAAAAACTAAATAAACTTAAACAATTAAACCTACAGTAAATGGAGACTTATCATAACCAAAATGTTTAATCATTTTTCTCATCTTGGAACTCTTGGTGGTAATTTACATATTTTGTTTTTTTTCAATTCGGTTCGGTTTTCATAGTTCAAAACGGAAAACGGAACAGTTTAGAAACGGTTTAGTTCAATTTTTATTTTTTAGTTTGGTGTATTTTTTTGGCACAATTCAATCGATTTTGGTTCGGTTTTCGATTTCCCCACCCACCCCTAACTCTAGTTGGAGTTGCATATGTGGGTGATTTAGCTTTAGGTATTTCTCCCCATGGGTGGGGTAATATGTTTGGTGTGTCGTGATACTCTTAAACTCAATGGAAACAATGTATTTCTTTTTCTATTTTAGTGACATCTATTTTCTAGATTGGACTTCGGGTACCTATGGTTAATCTGCTCACGTATAGGATAAATTTTAATATCTTTGCACATCTGGTTCTTGTGCATCTGTTGTCTTCTGAGAAGATTCAAGTCAAGATGGAGATTTGTTAGAAAATGTCTTGAAAATATGTTCTATATGTATCAAGATTAGGACTATGATTAAAATTATATTTAACTATCATATTTCTTATCTCTATATATAAGTCTATATCAATATAGGATTATACTTGTTCATATCCCCTCCACTATATATATTAGTAGTCTACATCTGTAATTCTAAATCTGTGAGAAAAAGTCTCAATATGTGAGAGTAAATCCCAATCTGAAAATCTATAGTCTGGTGAAAAAATTTTGGTCAATAAAATTTTTCTTTCTGTTCGTGCAGGTTACTAACGCACTGTTAGTAAACCATGTTAAATCCATGTCTTTTTTGTGATTATCGATTGTTTATGTTCATACTTTCTCAAATGTGTCATAGCAAATAATTTTATAATGAAAATATGAAGTATAAACTGAATCAACTTCTTATAATATAAACTCGATAAACAATGTTAGGTTCACAAACAAAATGGTCACAAACTTCACAAATTTACCATTTGTAATTTATTAAAAATTATTTTAGACTATTTTTATTTGTTTATTAAAGTCCACAAATGATAAATTTGTAAAGTTTGTGACTATTTTATTTGTGAACCTAGCATTTCTCTACTAAAGGTTCAAGATAATTATGCATCTTACTATTATGCACCTATCAACAAGGTTCAAGATGAATTTACTCAAAAATATGCAAGTGTCCTTAACAATTGAGCATTGTGGTAGCATAGCATTGTCCAATAATTGCATTTAAATAATGAAGATGAATATGAATAAATATGGTAACATGACATTATCCTCCCAAAGGAGAAGACAGCAAAATCTCCCTTTCATGCGCACCATCTCTCATCTCTCAAAGAACCAAACATATACTCCCACACCCCATTTGGTCATGTTCCTAATACATCACTTTTTAATAAAGTAAAAGTTATTCCTAGGTTTGTTCCCATTTTGATCTTTCATATCAATTTCTTTAAATTTTGAGAACAATTTATAGAAAATATATTGAATTATGATATAAGTTAACATCATTATATTTATCTCAAAACATAATTTTAAAATATCATATTTGTTAGTAGTGTCATCGGCTATTTTATGTAATTGCGATTTACTTAGAATGGACGAGAATTTTAATAGACGTTTTTAACGAGTTTGAATGTCCGAAGTACATGTTCGTTCAACAATATTAAAAATTCAATAGCCAGGGTCCAGGGTGGCAACCCTGGGAGCAGGGTCATAGGGGCAGCAACTCCTTATGGGGTCCAAGGGGACATGACATCTTTGCTTTGGAAAAACCTTTGGATTTTTGTGTATAGAGTACAAAATAATGAACACTTGGATGTTCAAATCAATACATTCGAATGTTGTGTTTATCTAGCGCATCCTCGGGGAAACTGCTCGATAGATTCGAATATTTGATACTAAACATTTGAAAATTCCGTGATAAGTTGCTACCGTTCACACTTAACTGCCAAAGTAACTGTTCAATCTAATCTGCCATTGAACATTTGAATGTTTAAGCACCAAAATTCGAACGTTACTTGAAAGTTGGTTGTTTCATCAGCCGACGCGTCCGTTCGGAATTTGCGTGTATATATGACACCTTGGTATGTTTCGAGATACGACCGAAAATTTCATTCCCGTTTTAAATTACGTACTTACGTCTTGTGCGATTGAAGTATTTTGGTATACCTCGAAATAACTTTAATTTGAAAGCGTTTATACGTAATTCGCTAAGTCTATCAAATCGTTCTTCATGTTTTTTGTATACCGATACTATAACGCTGTTTCGCAGTGTTTTTATCCCTCATGATTCCTCAACAATACATATCTATCTATAAATAGATATATTAATGACCAAAATGTTATATTAAATATTGTCTAAGTCAAATGAGGAAAAAAATATGAGACAAAAGTTGACCAATCCAAAAGAGTTACTCTCACGAAAATCTTTACGAAGCTTGCCGACTTAGCTCTAACAAATTAAAGTTAAAAAAATTATTGAGAATGGAAACATTTAGAATTTCTTCAGATTCGATAAAAGATACTTCGGAAAAAATAAATCTTGTAAGCCACATATTCGTTATTAGAAAAAAAAAGTATATAAGAATATATATTTTTGGAACGTTTAAAATAGAAAATTTGCAAAATATTTGGAAGTGATGGAGTAGTAATTTAATAACTTTTAAACTCTAAAATCAAAAAGAGAAAAGAGGAGAGCCAACCCTCTTTATGATATGAATTTAAAGGTAAAACATGTTTAACGGGCAAAAACACCACTTATGTAAACACCAACCCTACCTTTTACTAATTTTAAGCATTTCAGTTTCTTTGCAACTCTAAAACAAAACAAAAAACATTCACTTCACCTATTTCATTCTTCTCCATTTTCAAATGAATTAATTATTATTTTTATTATAATTATCATTATTACTATTATTACTAATGTTGTTGTTGTTATTCAATCCTCAAGAACAAAAAAAATAAATACAAAAATCTTGTAGCCACCCATTCATTGATCTTTTTAAGAGAGGAAACTTGCAAGGTTAGGGTTGAGGAAAAAAATATTTTCAAAAAATAATTAAAAAGGAAAAAAAGGGAAGGAATTCTTTCAATTCCTTTTCTTCCTTTGAATCATTATATTCCTCCTCCACATATGGGAAGAAAACTTCCTCAAGATTATCATAATAATTATCATAACAATCTTGCTCATCGACCTATTTTATCTTACGTTTTCCTTTTATTCTCTATTGCCACCACCATCACCATTGTCACCGTTCTCTGCGGTTTCTTGAGCCGCAAGAAAGAGAAACGACGAAGACAATGTAATGCCACGACAACAGAAGTAGAGACAGAAAACAACAAGGACCGAGAAACCAATCCCAATTCTCCCCGAGCCCCTGACGAAGCCTCGCCAAAGGCCCCCGAGGAGGACCTCCATCGACTGCCGATGCCACCTGCTGCAAAACGGGCGGCATCGTACCATTTCAGGTCAAGCTCGCACGCCTCGATGACACACAAGAAGGCGACACTAACGTCGAGCATGAGCATGAGAGTCGGGGGCGACGCGGGGAAGGAGAAGAAGCGCGAGAAAAAGCTGAAGCACGAGGATTCGATATGGAAGAAGACGATAATATTGGGAGAGAAATGTAAAGTTCCTGATGAAGAAGAAGATGATGACATTGTTTATGATGAAAAGGGGAATAAAGTGACACCTTATCACCCCAAAACGTCTATAGCGTTGCAGCCATTGTCAAGACAAAGTTCCCACATTGATAATCAAGGTGATGATGAAGATCATGTGAATTCAAGATGTAAAATGGATCAAATGATTGTAATTGATAATAATCAATGAGGGATAAACATTATATTATACATACATTTAGACGTAGGAATGGAATCTAATCAAGTTTTTTACAAGAAAATACAAATTGTTTCAGTAAGGTCCCGTTGACACTGACATTTAGTGTCAACGAATGAGACTCGCCTATTTGGAGCACTTCCAATGTTCCATTTGTAAAATTGATGGTTCTTACCTCTAACCCTACACTGCACTCCCACTCAAGCCATTCTCTTTAATCTTTACTCCCTCCAAATTTGTGGCTATTATAATGCATAAATATAATAGCCACACATCTCGATACGACAAAGGAGGGGGGGAGGGGCAGAGGTAGACTGAAGTGGGGTGCAGTGGGGGGTTTAGGGAATATGAATCATCATTTTTATCAATGGAACACTGAGGGTGCTCCAAGTGGGCGAATGTCATGTGTTGACACTTGACACTGAATGTCACCCCATCAACTAATTAAATATTCTTAATGATGCCGAATTATGTTACTTGGTATTATTTTGATAAGTTATAAATAATTCATTAATTTAAAAAACAACATTATACAGATTGATGATAGTGAAAAGGAAGCCATCAAAGCTTTTCCACATCTAGTGTTTGAATCTCATCCCTCTGATTAAGTGCTAGACTCATGGGTCTGAGAGGTACAGAAAAACAATGTACGGAGTATATAATTTTTTTTGAAACTATATTCAGAAAGAATTAAGCTACTTTCTACCTCAAAAATTGTACACCACATGTGTGCATATTTTGTGTGAGTGTGATGGTTCAAACAAGTAGAATATGCTAGTACAAAATGTTTATTTTATCGCACCAGAATTTTGTGTCAACATCAAAATATTGGTGCATACTTTTGATGTACAGTGTATACTTTGGAGTACAATCCTTAGTGTAACTCTAGCATGGTCGAATCAGAAAACATGAATGAAACAATAATTTTAATACCTGGCCAGATCGACCGGTAACAGAGAACCGATGAACCATAAGAACCGGCCGGTTAAACCGGCCAATCCAGGTTTTTTTTTGGAAAAAATGTCCAAAAATGCTACAACCACTAGGACTTGAACCGTATACCCCCTACATATCAAGTCAAGATGTTCACCAACTAAGCAAGGTTATTTTTTTTTTGTTTTAAGTACGGAGTATATATTCTATAATTAAAAGTATAAATATATATATAAAGATTTCTATTTTGCATAAAACTTTGATAAATATGATGTTATAACTAGGATTCAAACTTTATTGATTTACAACAATTGTGCAACATGAATATTATTATGTGAGTTGGAAGTTGGATAGAATCAATGAAAAATAAAATTTAATATGTATGTTTTATACACACGAGATTTTTTATTATCACTTATTTGTAAATTTTTAAAAAGACTATGTAAGTACTATGTTTTATGTTGATGGGATAAACATATTTGTGTAAAATTAATTTAAAATACAAACATACATATATAGAAATTATATTTTGAATACATAAGATTTCTAGTCCTAGCCCGGTCTCAATCTAGTCTTTCGAAAAAGATTACCTAATTCGGGACTAGTCTAATCTTTCATAAAAAATTAAGGGCCAAATGAGATTACCAGCCCAAGACCGGACGAGTGTTAAGGATCACTTGGATCACATCTTTTATAGCCTCAATTCCAATCTATCACGATCAATCTTTTTCGACCTAGTTTTGTACTCTACTCTAAATGAAACAAAAACAACCTTAAAACGTGAAAGGACGTTCAACATTTCTTGTGCTGGACTTCCACGCATCCCCCCAAATTCCGAAAGAAGAATGTTAGGGGTACACCATTTGGGGTATCCCATTTTGTACACCATGCATCCTAGCCCTTCATTTATTTTTTTATTTTTAATTTTTTTTCTCTCTCTTGCTTTGTGTGGTGGAAATGGAGGGGTACAAATGGGTACCCAAGGTGTACCGCTAGTATTTTTGATTCCGAAATCACCTTCCAAGAATTGAGGACACAAGAATCTTCTACAGGAGAAAGTCAATAACAAACGTACCCCGATCGTTATTGATCCGTGTTTTTCTATATCAATTGGGTATTCTTGATCGGACCCATTTTTCAATAACAGCCCCAATTGATTCTTTTTATTCTCCTTCCCGATTTCCATTTGGGGATGGATCTTGGAAGGGAGAATTGATTCAGATCTTTTGATTGATTATTTCGAGTTGGGCACTCTTCAATTCTAGGTGCTTTTGGAGCTGCGGATATGGATAAGTGGGACTGTTCTTGGCATTGATCAGCGGGGAATTTAGGGTTTTGAGATCTTGATCGATTTTTACCTTTGGGTCTGTTTGATGAATCTGGCTATAATCAAAGAGAAGGATAGGCTTGTGAACCAACGGTCATCGAATCCGGGTGATCTCTGGCTGTTGGGTTTGCCGGTTGAGCAGAAAGTGTTTCGGGTTTGCATCTCAATCCACAGGTGGAACAAGGAGTTCTACATCCTGCCCGGAGGATAATTCGGTCGACCCGAATTGTTTCGGGCGTAGTAAATTTACCAGGTGATGGATTCAACCCAAGATTCAACTTTGTCTAGTAATGTAGCAGGTTTGGTAGATGGGTCTTCTTCTAGTGGAAGAGAGGTTTATTATATTGATCATCTGCCCGTATTTGCAAAGGAGTTGATTGCTGGAGGGGCTGCTGGTGCATTTGCCAAAACGTCTGTAGCTCCGTTGGAACGGGTTAAAATACTTCTTCAGGTAATTTTTTAGCTCTTTCTCTAAGTAAAGAAGGCGCTGTAATTTTTTTAGCTTCTTAGCCAAACAGGGAAGAAATCTGAAATCCGTTATACAAAAATAAGATCTTTACTTCTTTATATGTATGTCTTAATGCTTGTCAGATGCTGGTTCCACTTGAATTTGGTTCCTCTGGTTGGTTTGACTGATTAGTGGGCCCTGCCAATCTAACCGCTTTCAAGCGCTTAGCCAAGCTTCTTGGCCTTCTTGGTAAAAGAATCCGGATCCTTTTGGCTTTCTACTTCCGATCATAGTTGTGCTTTTAAAAGAAAATGAAAACCGCCCTTATAGGGCTAATTATACAGACTTGAGCATACTGTGTTTGGTGATAATGAGGTTGAGGATGAATCTGAAGGACAATATAATGAAAATGAACTTTTTTAGGACAATGAGTTTGATAAGGAGGAGGATGATTGTTTGGTGCTTTATTAGTTATGTAATGCTATATGCTAATAGGTTTCACTTTGGTGCTTTGTGCTCCGTATTTTGAAACTTGGGAGTTCAACTTAACTTGAAAAGTTTGAAGTTTATACTGTCATTAGTTCTTTAAGCTTTATTTTTTTAAGTGGTGTTGTTCTGCTGTGTTCGAAAGTTTTGCATCATCATCATCATCATAATTAATATCAATAATAATATTATTATTAATAAAATTGAATGTGTTAATATGTGTTTTTGCTTTGCGCCTCAATGTGCCTCATGTCTAGCGACTGCTTTAAAGCTCTAATACATCTCTTGGATGCTTATATAACCATATATGGTTACTTATCCTTTGTATGGATAAAGATGGAAATACATAGGATATAAGAGAAAACGAGTGAAATGTTTTTTTTCTTTGACTCTTTGTTTGGATGTAGAGAATTAAGAGAGAAAAGTTAGATTTTTCTTGTAAACACATTTGCATATATGTATGCGTATTGTGTGTGCGTCCCATAATGAACTTTTTATTTCTGTTATTCATCCAAAAGTCCAAACAGAAAAAACTGAAAAGTTATCTCTTTTCCAACGTGAAAACTTGTGTATTTAAATGTGTGATACTTGTGTGTCCATTTCATATTTTCAGACAAGAACCGAAGGATATCGCTCCCTTGGTGTTTTTCAATCCCTTAAAAAGCTATGGAAGCAAGAGAGCTTTGTAGGGTTTTACAAGTAAGTTCAAATTCAACCATTACATTTTCTTTTACACACACGCACACACACATTCCTAACAAAAGGATGGTTGCATCACATTTGTGATGTGTCATTTCAGGGGAAACGGAGCAAGTGTCATTCGGATTGTTCCATACGCCGCCTTACATTTTATGACCTATGAGCGGTATCGGAGTTGGATTTTGGACAACTATTCTGCATTTGGGACGGGACCCATCGTCGATCTTTTGGCTGGTTCAGCAGCTGGAGGAACTGCAGTGCTATGTACATATCCCCTAGATTTGGCTCGCACTAGATTGGCTTACCAGGTAAAGCACGAGTTTTTCTTTGGTTTTTTTATGAATTCATCTAGTGAATTATTGGTGGAAGTTGCAATTAATACAACAACAAGAAACCGAGTAGAATCCCACATGCCACTAGAGAGGCTCTTTCCACGAAACCTCCGAATCAAACTTGCAAATCATAGCAAATGGTTAAAGTATTGCTGTTTAGTGTTTTTACTTATTATTTTCCCAATTTATAGGTTGTGGACAGAACTCTAGAAAATAATCCCAGCTGCCGACGTGCTCAACCTGCTGCATACAACGGAATAAAGCAAGTTTTCCAGTCAGTTTATAGTGAGGGTGGGGTCCGAGCACTTTACCGCGGTGTAGGTAATGTTTTTTTTTTTTTTTGCATATCTCTACCCTATGAAATCCAGTTTTCAGTTATGCTCATGCCCTAGCAATGTTATATTGGGACAGGTCCCACGCTTGTGGGGATTCTTCCTTACGCTGGGCTGAAGTTTTACATATATGAGGAACTGAAGAGTCGGGTGGCCAAAGAGCACGAGAACTCCATCATGATGCGTCTCTCGTGCGGCGCTCTCGCCGGTCTGTTTGGTCAGACTCTCACTTATCCATTGGATGTCGTCAGGCGTCAAATGCAGGTGGGTGGTGGGGGGTAATATCGTACATTCACAGAAAATTAGATTCAGATTTCCCATATTCAGTAGGCAAATTAATCGTTTCTAGAATGAATGTTGTGTTGTTAATTATCAGGTGGAACGAGGGAACCGTAGGTACCGTAGCACGAGGGAGGGGCTTACGGTAATTGTGCGCGAACAAGGCTGGAGACAACTGTTTGCTGGCCTCAGCATTAACTATATCAAGGTATTTCATGACACCGACTTTAAAACAATAACAACAAACAAATCCAGTAGAATCCCACAAAATTAGGGTTTGTGTGTGTATGCAGACGTTACCTTTGGGAGTAGAGAGCTTGATTTAGCATGGATTTTTCTCGGAAACAATCTCTCTTCTCTCTTGGGCTAATTGTAATCTCATTTGCTTTGCGATATCGCATGTTGAGTGAGGTTGCGTTCCGTTCGCCTGTGATATGATTTTTGAAGTTTTGGTCTGATCAGATCTGATTGTAGTTATGTTTAAAGCTGTTTCTGATATGATATGATTTTGAAAAGAATAAGTAATAAACTGGAAAAACAAAAAGTTGAACAGAACGGACCCTAATTCTACACCTTTCCATCCATTTTGGAAATTTTTTTTCTTCTCAGGTTGTTCCATCGGTGGCCATCGGTTTCACTGCGTATGATGCGATGAAGGGCTGGCTTCGCATTCCTCCACGGCAGAAGTAGAAACAAGCGCTTCTTCCTCTTCCTCTTCCTCTGCATGATATCTTGTTTTTCCTTTATTTCTGGCAACAAAACTTGTCCCCAGCTGTACTGTTATTGGGTACTTTTTTCTTCTTCTGAAGAAGAAAATGGGATTCAATAAGTAGTGGAGTCTACACTTAAGATAATTACAGAGATCTCATGTGAAGTTACAAGGAATCCCAACTTGGGTACACTTTTTTGCACTCTTTATCAACTAGCTGTATCATTACATCAAACCCCTTTTTCTCTTCTTCAAATTGCTACCGCCGTTGGTTTTGGTTAGGGGTGGGAATGGGTCGGGACGGTTTGGATTTTATATTGTCTCGCGTTTTGTCCCGTTTTTTTAACGGTTCGGAACGGTTTGGACCACAAACTTATTCCTCTTTGTCCCTTAACATTCGGGATCGGGATAAAATGGAACGAGTTTGGGTTGTCCTACTTTATCATTATCTGGAATTAGATATAAAAATATAAAATATATAATTGGGAGACAACCCACATTGACTTTTAAAGTAATGAAAAATGATCCATTTATTCTAGAATTTTTTTAAAAAAGCCAAAATAATAAGAAAATATAAAAAAATGTTATTAGCGTCAAAAGTCAAGACTATAAATTTCATATTACTATGAGCTACAAATTGGGGTGGGTTGGGTTAGAATGATTGTTATTTTTAGGTGTTTCGGTCCTAGTTTATTTTGGAAAAATAAAAATTGTGATACTTTTTATGTATTACCGGAGTATATCATTATATAAATAAATAAATAGATTTATAAGCACTACAAAACTAATTGTAATCTGAAGCGGAAAAGCCTGCCTCTAATCACATAGAATCTGCTGTTAATAAAGATTTAGCGGGGATCTAGAGGCGGACAACCTTCGGCAGCTAAACAAGCCCTTGCTAATTATGGAGGCAAAAGTATCCGCATATAATTTAAAGATAGATTTTTTCGCAGGTTGAAATAATATCCTATGCAAACGTAGAGGGGAATTTATTCGCCTCTAATATAGATGGAGATTAGTCCGCCGCTAACATTGAGGGGGATTATTTTGACGCCAAAAATCCATATAAATAGCAAGGGAAAACTCCCCTGCAAATCGTATATTTTTATTTAAAAAATAATTTTTTTCAAGCTTTTTAATACAATAAACAACAACCCAAATAACACTATTGAGGCATCCAAAAATCAATACACAATAATATCATTACAAATGCTTATGAATGAGTCTCAACATCAAACATTTTCAAAGTCTACCAACATCGAAAGCTTAAGTAATGAGCATCACTGCTTCAGTTTCATACACCAAGACAAAGATGAGACTGCATTTGATACGACGTATTATGATTGCCAGATGCCGGTGTGCGTTTACTACTCTACAAACGAACATGTTTGCTAAGCTCTTTGGGACGTAACAGTCTCTTTGACGACTTAGACTTCTCCGCGTTGTCATATTTTGTCTTTTATCATTTAATTTGTAGACATCTGTACTAAATCAAATATTGGTCAGTACTAAATTACACAAAAATAATATGAAAAGACTTGAACCAATGAAAAAACAAAGTAGCCAATTTATAATGCCTCACTAAGCCAAATCAACTTTTGTGTGATTCCTAATCAGTTTACTCCATGAAGCTAGAGTTCTCAACAACACAAACAGATCACTTTCCCAAACAATAACCAACATCATTACATTCATATATATACACATATATTCGCTTTCTTCTTTTACAAAAAAAAATCATTGATTGAAATTGTCGTTTTTATCTGAATGAATTTTATTCGATCAATTTTGAATTAAATGAAAAGAAGAATATAAGATTATGAGACAATACAACAACATTAATATTTTTAGTCATACATTATCTTCGCTCTTGAGTATTTTTTAAATTTTGACTTTTTATAGTCAATCATATCCAATCTTTGATAAATAAAATATAAATATATGATATATTAATTAGATAAAATAATATTTTGAAAATATTTTATAAAAAACAAATTATACAAATTTATTTTTATATCATTCTCCAGTAAAAATTTTATTTAGTTTATGATCAAAATTTGTTAATTTAAAGCGCAAAAATCAAATATGAACAAATACTCCAAGAGTCCCTACTTGTAATAGCCTTCCAATGTGACCATGTTGACATAACCACACCATGTAGTACGTGAGTTGTTTTTGGGCCATTCCACATTATAAAAGTGGATGGGCATTCACTAAATGATGTTCACTACACTACATAACAACCCCACATTAAATATTGTTGATTTTGTCACACTTATAGGAGGCACACTTTTTTTTTTGGTCACATTCTTAACAGTTTTTTTTGGGCAATCAAAATAAAACAAAAAAGAGGCCCCAAGCATGGTCAAAATACTATAATTATGCCAATGGTGTTGGAAAGCATTTGTGGATCTAAGCTCCGTTTGATTCTTGAGGTAGTCACGGTTTCAGTTCTGAATTGATACTCAAATCAAAATGGTATCGGAACCGATACAATTGAGAAATCTGAGCATGAACCGAAAGTAGAGAATGCATTTCCGATTCCTATATTTTTAGAACTGGATTCGGTTCTCAATTCCACTACACTGAGTATCTTTTTTGTTTGATTATGTTTACAGTTTAATACACAAAGAAGAAAACTAATTTTGGATGAAAAATTGTGTTTTTTAAATCCAATATCTAATCATATTTTTTAAACTCGCAGCAATAGTATATTTTTAAGAAATCTATCAAGGTAAAAATAAATTATAAAGAAAGTATCGAAATAACGATTCAATATTTTTAACCACAAAATAAGACTACTTTCATGTGGCAATTTGACAGTGTATATTGATATTCCATAGTAATTTGATATTTTACATTGACATTATTGACATTGTAATTCTTATTTTAAAGATAAAAACATGAAAATTTTATTTCAATATTTTCTTCATCTTTTACTCCTATAATCTCTTTCACTATATTTATTTATTAAAAATAATAAATGGATCAAAAGTAGAACCTTCTGGAACAAAATCAAAACTATACCAATCTTAAAAAACTAGTATCACACCCGTGCGTTGCACGGGTCATATTTAAGTTACTAAATTATATAAATATCATTTTTGAATGTTACAAATTAGTATATATAATGGAATATAGAGATTGCATTATTTTAAATTACAAAAGTTAAATGATTTACAATATTTGAAAGACTACTTTATAATTCACATTACTCGTATAAATATATGAAAATCTTGTCTTCGTTACACATCAGAATATTTAAGTCATTATGATTTATTACTCTTGAAAACTACAACATACAAATATCCAAGACTAAAATATAAATAACATTAATCAAAACTCCGATTAAAAAATTTGTTCAGAGTTAATTGTGTTGTTTTTTTTCATTTTGAGGATAGACAAAAGTGTTTTACAGAATGCACAAAAAATGAAACAGAAACATCTTTTAGGGATGAAAGAAGTATATAATATGTACCTGTTTGGGAATAACGTTAAAGATTCGTGTTAGTGTTTAAGATAAAACTTTAACGGTATAGATTGACTTTGAAAACACTAACACTAAACGATACGCGTAGATAGTGTTTTCAAAGTGTTAACGCTAATCAATAACACTACTCCCAAACATGTCTTATATGAACCTAATACTCCGTATAATAAGAACTTAAAAGCTCAAAACGCATATCAAAGATGGTAATTGCAAAAAAAGTTTGAGAATATCCATATTTATAGTAGGAAAAATTTATAAACATATCTCCTTTCCCCTCCACTCTTTTCACTCTTATTAAAAAAATATTAAAGTAAAAAAAATAATGTATTTAAATAAAAAATTGGAACATTTTTAATGCTCATATGAAAACAATATTTTTTTAATAAAAATGGAAACATGTTCCCTTTACCATTAATTATTAATTAATAGAAACGAAAGCTGGCGTAGCAACACTTAGCATTAATTAAGAAACGTGTTCCTCTTTCCTCTCTACTGTTTTGGTTATTATTAAAAGAATATTAACATATTTAAATAGATATGGAAACTCTTTTAATGTTCATACGAGAACAGTTAATTTTTTAATAAAAATGAAAACTTATTTCCCTTTACCATTAACTATTAATTAATAAAATCCAAAATTATCATGGCAAAACTTACCATTAACTGCGTAGCATTTAAATAAAAACGGAAACATATTCACCTTTTTGAATTACTATTTTCGGTGTTATTAAAAACAAAACATATTAATGTATTTAAATAAAAACAAAAACATTTTCAGTGCTCATACGAAAACATAATTTTTTAATAAAAATATAAACATATTCTCATTTATCACTTACCATTAATTGACATAGCATTTAAATAAATATAGAAACATATTCCCCTTTCCACCTTATTGTTTCGTTGTTATTAAAAATATATTGATGTATTTAAATAAAAATGGAAACATTTTTAATACTCATACAAAATTCTCCATTACTATTAATTATTCATTAATTACTACATATTAGTTAGTACTTTTATGAAATTTTCCACTTTTAATGCTCATACAAACTACAAAGGTCCCCTTAACATATTCCATTTACCATTAATTATGGACTATTAATTAATGCTTACTAAATTTAATGCATACACATACATATAATAAGTTAAACGCACAACATTTCCATATATTACTTTTATATATGGGCGGAAAAAAATTCACCTCTTTTTAAATATAGTATAGATTATTGAGTATTAGTTTATTTGTTTTACACCCATTTCTCCCATGGATAGATGGGGTGATAAACAATGTAACAAATGAATAACATAACACATGATAGATAGGTGGGATGACACATGAAAACTGAATCTTTGAAGGATGATAAAGAGCTATCATCTTTATTTCCAAGTCTTTTCTAGCCCTTCAAAATATAGTGGAATTAATAGTGTGTGGAATTGCAAGTGTTATTCTAACAAAACTTTAAAAAATAGTTGACAAAAAAAGAAAGATAATCACTTTCATGATCTATTATCAGACACTTCTGTCAGACATAAATGGTCTGAGCCGTCGGATTTTGATTTGGTCAGGGACGGCTCAGATTCATCGATTCATCTGTGTCTGACAGTTTTGGTCAAATGGCATGAGATGTGTGAAATGGGGAAATGAATCAGTGGGTTCAAGTACATCACTATGGATGGATGATCTTCTACTACCCTACAAACCTGTCCAATTCATGAACTTCTTAACCTCATCGTACAACACGAGCACGGCGGCCGCCCCGGTGCTCCGGAACACGTTCGACAGAGCCCCGCGGTAAAAAGACGCGGGCCCCTCCGTCCGGTATATCCTCTTCCAGCAGTCCCACGTGCTCCCGTACATGGGCGGTGGGCCCGACCCGGCCTGCATCATCATCCGCCTCCGGACCGTGTCGAGCGGGTACGACAAGAGCCCCGCCAGCGTCGTGACCCCCTGAGCCGCCACCCACCGCCTCCACAGCGCCACTTCCGGCGATGCGGCCGCCATCATGTCCTTGATGGTGTCGAAGCCGCCGAAGTAGAGGCCGCGGTGGACGACCATCCCGTGGAGGGAGGCGGGGAGGCCGCGGTAGACCCCGCGAATCCCGTCTTTCTCGTGGACCGTCCTTAGGAAGTGGGAGATGCCCCGGAACTGGCGCGCGTCGGTCCTCCCGAGGTCGGCAGCGAGACGCGTGTGCGCGATGTCGAGCGGGTAGATGATCACCAACGTCGTGCACCCGGCCGTGGCCCCCGCGACGAAGTTCGCGGACGGACCCGACAAGAGGTGGCCCTCATGGAAGTTGCTATGCATGATGTTCCTATAGAGATCCTGCAAAGCAAAAAAAAAAACAGAAGAATTTGGTTATTCATCGTCAAAAAACAAATAAATACAAACAACACTGGTTTTGGGTGTCATAATATGACTCGGGGGAGTCGCGAATTGGTTCCGACCACCTTAAACCCCCTTCGAAATCCTCATTGCCCCGTAGAACCCTCAAATGACCGGTGTCATAATATGACAGCGAGGGTGAGTACCAAAACATCCTCACTCTAAGTGTTAATTAGGAATATTAGCCAGAAGAGTTTGGAGTCATTCTACATCTTCCCAAAAAGCACATGTTGAAAGGTTCATATGACCTAAAACTATTCAATGAGCTAAGGCTCCATTGGTTCCTAGGGAAATGCTTTCCTTAAAAAAAGTTTCTTGGGTTTTCATGCGTTTGGAGAACATTTTCCTGATATTAAAATAACGCGGCGGGTCGTGTGAATGATAGCTTATGGACAGTTCCATTTGAGTTCGCAACCGAAACATAATTTACATCCTGCTAGGAATTATATCTTGGAATAACATTCTAGGACATGAATGACCTCCGAGCATATCTTCCCTTTGGATGCCCGGTCCAAACGAGTATGAGTCCGTTCCTCACTTCCAAACAAGGCTTTTAGGACCACAACAACAACAATGGTCCCGTTTGGCATCAGCGTTAGAGATTAGCATTAGCGTTTTGAAAAGGCTATCTGACGGTAGCCTTCAGCGTTAACATTTTCAGAATTGATCTACACCATTAAACCTAATTGAAAAAGTTGTTCCCAAACAAGGCCAATAACAACAAATCCGGTAAAATCCCATGAGCGTGGTGATTATGAAGCATGTGGGAACACAAATGACAAACCTTATCCCTATTTGGAATCACATAGGCTATAGGCTATTTCTGAGAGAACTTCGGCTCAAACACGGAAGCAGAGACAGAGACAAAGCAAACACAAGAAACACATATACCAACCTCGGCAACTAGACAATGTGCAAAGAAAACGCACACGAACAAACACATAAGCACAATCACTTACAGGCATTATTTACAGAAACAGATGAAAGAAATGTATGAATGGAGTGTGTGAGGAGGAAGAAGAGTGTACCTTAAGGGAGAAATTGAGGGCAACAGAAGGGTAATATCTGATGACACTGCTTCCATTCCCTCTCCACAAGGACAGAAACCCTTCTTCCCTAACAGTCCTAACTATGCAATCCAACATGCCCTTGAACCTCCTCTGCCGCCCTCCGGCCAAAATCGCGGCGTTGCTCTCCTGCGTCTGCAACAACAGCTTTGCCCTCTCAATGGGGGCCACGATGGTGTGAACCACGCCGCCCATCACCGCCCCCGCCACGATGTCCCGGTAGAAACTCGCCCACCAAGTAGCCCGACCCGGTTCTGAAACCGGGTCTTCCCCTTCCCCGTTCCCCTCCTCCATTCTCAAACCCTAGCCCCCTCCCTCCGACAATATGGGAGAAATTCGGGCTCAAAGATGAAATCTTTGCGCCTGATTTCTCCGAATCGTTCTGGGTTTTCTTTCTCCTCTGAGATCGGAAGGAAAAAATGAAAAAAGAATCGATTGAGCCCTGAGATTGCTGACGCTATTCGCGAAAACTGATATATTGTCTCTATCTTTATGCGATTCCGAGTTTGCGTGTGGAGTCGATTGCCAGAAAGTGGTGGGAATTTGATCTCCTCGCCTGGATTCTGGTTATGGAAGACAATGAGATTGGGTCTTTGTCTGGTAAGACCTTTTTGCTCTCATGATACGATTGGATAAACTTCTCTAATTTTCCTTTAAAAAAAAAATGAGCGCCTCTAGGATAAACCAAAAAGTGTACCCCAAATGTACACCACCCCCTCCATAATCACTCATTTATTTTTTATTTTTATTTACTTATTTTTTTTTAATTTTTTTGCCTATTTGAGTGGTAATGGAGGGGTTGGGGAACATATGGGGTACACTTTTGGTGTACCCCTAGCATTTTCCAAAAAAAATCCCTAATTTTGTTGGGACATGATGACAACTTGCCGCTGTAACAACTAGATTCGGCCAAAAATTTAATTATAAATTTATGTAAAAATGTTATTACTACATATAAAAGATTTATGAAAATAAAAATAATGATTACGAACTATTTTAGATTGAAGCAAAGTAAAAATAAAGAAAATATTATACTCCTCCGTCCCCCAGTTTTTGTCCACGTTTAACTTTTGGAACTGTTCATCTAAACATTTTGACTCATCAAATTCTCTCAATGTGTAAGCCTAAATATAGTCATGTGTGATCTTGTTAGATTTGTCTTAACATATAGGTTATTAATATATAATTTCTATAATTTTTTAATATACAAATTATAAGATAAAATGGATTAAAGAAGTGCATTAGATGGTGTGTAAAAAAGAAAGTAGATAAATACTCTGGGACGGTGGAAGTATGAAGTTATTCATCATATGTAGACATGCACAGAGGTATAATCTAGATACAATATATCAATAATGTAGAACCAATGCATAAAAATTTTTTCAAACTTTTATTCAACTTTTAGTGTAGTACATAAAGAAAACTTGATTATAAGTACAATGACAAAGGTCAAACATTTATTCAAATTCTAGTGTAGTACATGAAGAAAACTACCTTGTTGCCCCTATGCCCCATAAGGTCTAACATTTACTCCGCTTCTTCATCTCACCGATTTGAATTTGCCAAAATTTGGTCTCGACCATCTGTGTAGATTTTCTTGTGGCCCTTCCTGACCACGTCAATGTCCAACACATAGCCTTTAGCCAAAGCACTCTTGAAAAATGATCAACATCCAAATTCAAAGCATCTAAAAAAATGTTGATAAAACAAAAAAAACACACTTATCATCACTCCTTCAAAAGTTCATTATCCTTTGAAAGAATTTGAAGGGCACCTTCATTGCCCTAAAGAGGTTATATTTTCTGATATTTAAAAAGTTGAAACATACAAACAAACAAAACTCTAAACATGTATAAAAAGTATGTAAATGGAAAAATTGTGGACTAACCTTAACAAAAAGGAATGAGTGGATAATGTTATTGTTGATTATAAGCAAAAAAGCATTATTTTGGCTAAATGATTGGTTTCGTATGAAATCATCTCTCTAATGGTTGTGAGATGGTAGTTTTTGTTCTCGCAGATTGGTCAAGGAACTTATAGCTGTGTGTAAGTACCCTTTCACCTCTAAGAGCAAAAATACCATGTAGTTTCTATTAATAGGATAAGTATCCTTTCACTTGTAAGAACAAAACTACCATTTTTAGTGGTTTTACTGATTTGCTCTGCATCACTATTACAAAAATAAATTCCTAAACTCAATAGGATAAGTACCCTTTCACTTATAAGAACAAAATTGCCAAAAATCACTTGAGAACGAAGTGGTAATAAAATAAAAAAAACCCAGGCAGAATGAAATGCTATGAAGAAGCCGATGAGAAATGAGAAGCTTACCGAGCACAAAAACTGACTAAGAAGCGATGGAAAGAGCATTGGTGCAACGATTTTGATAGATCTATCACTCCAAATAAGCAACTATAGCTGCATATTTTTTCTACATATTAAGCAACTATAGCTGCATTATATATAGAAAGATAGAATAGGTTCAGCATGGTTAACATGGTTAACAGGATATGCATTTTTCTGGCCCATAGAAACCATGGATTCGGGTAAAGTAGTATTAGCACTGGAGTTTGTTACTTTCTCGTTTGAGTTGCTCGCCTGCTCTAGAATGTTCAAAGGTGAATACTCAGCAGGAGAAGTAATTTCCCCTATCATCATTCATTGGGATTCGATCCCTGATGAAGAGTTTACAGCAGGTAGCAACAGGATCCAAAAATCCTACAAAAACTGAAAATTTTCAGGTTCTTTATTTCAAAGAGAATACCCGAAACCCATTCTTTTGTTCATTAGGATCCAACCTTATCCCATTATGAATCTGAGAGGAGATATATTGCAAAGGCTACTGATTTTGGGGACCATGAAGGAAGTTTTCACCAACTACAGGTGCATATTTTTGCTGAAAAGTACAAATGTCCAAACAGTCATTTTCTAAAAATATATGGTGAAGAACAGGTATCACAAATTGTTTACACATGAATTTTTAAAAAAATAATCTTACCTGCAATCTTGCTTGCCTCTCCTCTTTTCGTTAAGCAAGAGCAACATAGAGTAGTTTGGACACCACCACTTTCCCATTCAAATCAAAAAGCTATAATAATCGAAATGCATGGATCAGATCCTGCTCTCTACGATGAAGAATAGCTAAACAAATAGAGTCAATTAGTATTATATAAAAAATAATAGTAACATACAGCTCTAAACGCTTATAAAGGAGTTGAGAATAATACAAATCTAGACCCTTTGCTAATTCCACTTGAATTATGCATAACTCAAACTCAGGAACAAATACTGAAATGTTATGTCAAGATTCGAGTAACACAAAAGTATCTTAGCAGAACTTAGTGTTGATTGTAATATATGTTGCAAGATCTTATTATACCAAACCCTACAAACAATTCCCTTAGCTAGTCATCATCAATACTATCATCAACATTCTTGACATATAAATTTAATCCTTGATGTTTATACACAGTTCCCTTTGTACTCTAATCAAACTTACTTTTCAGCTCTTGCTTTCTTTTAGATTTTGTCTGAGCTTTCCCAACATACTACTCTTTATCATCAAATTCTTTTCACTTATAGCTTCAATAGCTTTAGCAACAGCATCAGTATTCTCAAAATTAACAAACCCAAAGCAGTTGGACTTTCCACCAATATATTAGGTTTTGGAATTATAATAGACACATTACATTAATATATAAATCTATAATAAATTAACTTCATTTGATTTCAAGTATTGAACAAAATTAAAAAATATAAAATTTAAGGGTGAAAATAGAGAAGAAGAGGGAGCTGAAAACCTTTGTCCAAAGGAATAAATTTGAAAGCCACCATGAATATTCCCCATCTTCTGTAAACTTCACCCACCATCTTCCAATTAGGGCATTCAAATGTAATGGTCGGGTGTCAGATCTGCACCTAGAAGATGAAAAAAAAGAATTGCTAATTACAATTAGATGTATAATGGTAAAACCATTAACGTCGGAACTTCAAAATTAGAAAGAAAAAAATCAATCAGAAGCCTGGCTACTTACCCACGGCGGTGTGCTCTCTCTCCCGCTACGGTGATGTGCAAATTGGAATTAGACGGCGATCATCGACCTCCAGCTTGAGAAGTGAGACAGCGCATGGCTTACCGGTTGTCTGGTCAGAGACGGTGAAGCTGCTGCGGAGAAAGAGAAGCAAGAACAGGTGGATCTGACAGAAAGCATTCTCCATACTCTCTCTCTCTAGATGTGTACGCAAGAAGTCTCTTTTATCAGATGGATCTGACGGAAAAACCCAGCGGCTTAGCTTCTCCCATACTCTTTCTCTTATCACGGGAGTGATCTGCTGTCCAGTATACGCTATCTATCCGTACATCTAAAAGAGTATGCAGGAAGCTTCACCGGATTTTTCTATCAATGTGCGGTCTAAATCTAGCGGCTACTGTAGCTGATGAAATGGGCGGGAATACTGTTCCTAAACTCATCTTACCATTTTATATAGAAAGATTAACGAACAATCGAACATCCATGCGGTTTTTTTGATGCGCGATCATCGGATTATGGTTGATTCTCGCAATGAAGAGTGGATAGAATAATGTTAAACATATGTCTCGAGATAGAAGCTTTTTAAGACCAAAATAGATTAAGGGGGTGTATTCAATAATCTGTTGAATTTTTTTTAGATTTTAAAAGTCAGCAGGTATTCAATTAGGATTTTGGAAAATCATTTAAAATATAGAGGTATTCATTTAAGATTTTGAAAAATCTTACTAAATCTAATATTCTAATGGTATTAAAAAATTGATAGATTCTCATAGGTTGTCATGAAATATGGATTGTGATGGATTTTAGAGCTTGATTATAAATAAAAATCTTGTTTATAAATCTAATCAATAGCACCGAGATTTTGTTTGACTCTCTCTTTCTTCTTTTCTACCGTTGTCTTTTTTTATATGTTTCTTCTCTGTTCTTCATTATCCTTTCTCTTTTTCTGTTGTGTTTCTTCTTCGTTTCCTCCCGCTGGCTCGTCGAATCTAACAGAGGCGAAGGAGGTTGAATTGAAAGTATTATTCAGCAGAAGAAAGAAGAAGAAGAAAGGCAGACGGAAACCTACCGGCGAACTGAGAGTATCAGACGAAAACCTACCTGCGACCGAACAAAATTTCTCATCGGAGGAAAGAAGAAGAAGAAGAGAGGCAGTGGTGGTGAATCTGGGTGGCGACGATGGCGGCGGAGGCAGCGTGGGATCGGAGCTGAGCCGGAAAATGAAAGAAAGAAGAAGAGTAAAAAAAGAAGAGGTAGCGGCGCGGCGGCTAGGGTTTGTGGGGGAAGAAGGGAAAAAGAAAAGAAAAAGAAAAAAGAAAAAGAAAAAGGAAAAAGAAAAAAGAAAAAGAAATCTTGGGACTAGGGTCCGTGGGGGAAGGGAAAAAGAAAGGAAAAAGAAAAAAGAAAAAGGAAAAACATGAAAAAATATGTTCAAAGATAAAAGAAAAAAAAGAAAACATGTTTATGTATATATAATTCATTGATTACAAATAATCTCTTAGAATCATAAAAAATACCTTAAAAAAATTCATTAAAATCTATCCAACTCTATGTAGACTTTAAAATAATCCATTGATTTTATAGAATCCATGAATTTTAAATAATCTATCAGAATCTATTAAAATCTGGATTGAATACACCCTCTAAGTTCAAAAAAGAGTTTTAATTTTTTAAGATCAAAATAAGAAGGAAGAAAGACCAAAGTAGTAATAAAATATTGAAAATATATCAAAATAGGATCCCCATGTTTAGAAATCACCTTAAATAAGACTAAAACATAGAGAAAAGTGCCAAAATAGGACTTTTATATTTTTTTCCCTGAAATAGGACTTTGCACTGTGGTAATGTGACTTTGCACTGTGGTAATGTGGCAGTGTACATGTGCACATTACTATACTTTTTTGGTAATGTATATGATCATGTTTGGTAATGTAAGTCCTATTTTGGGAATAAAAACATTGAAGTCCTATTTTGGTATATTTTCAATGTTTTAGTCCTACTTTGGTCTTTCTCCTTTCTATGTTTTTGTCCTCGAAATAAAACTTAAAATGCAGTTACAATACCAAATATTGTCATGTACATTACCAAAAAGTATAGTAATGTGCACATGTACAATGTCACATTACCACAGTGTGAAGTCCTATTTCGGGAAAAAAACATGAGTCTTATTTTGGTACTTTTGTCTATGTTTTAATTTTTTTTAGGGTGATTTCTAAAATAAGAATATAATGGCAGTGTGGTGTAAAAATACGTGTTAGTAGTGTTATGGAAAAATATAAAAATACTTTATATAGGATTAAAACATAGAGAAAAGTACCTAAAGGGCACCCACGACAGATAATCGTATTATGTATTAAGATTCATAAAATGAATATGAATTTAAAGAAACCCCTTTGGATAGTAGTAAAAAAGTATTGAAATACCAAAATAGAGTTCTAAGTTTTTTAAAACGAAAACAAGAGTATAATTGCAGTGTGGCGTAAGAGTACGCGTTGAAAATGTGTTGAAAAATGATAACAGTGTAATATATGAGTGTGTTCAATTAATTATCGGTGATCCGCATTGACACTCTGGTGGCTGGCGGCATGGCAGTGATAAAGTTACAATTACAATATGACAATGTAATAATGGTAGTGTGAACTATTATTTTGATTAAAAAGACATGATTGTTGAAAGAATTTGTAAATTAGTGTGCTGTGATAACGTGTTGTGTAGATAGAATTTACTTTATATTGTGTAATAAGTTGTACTGGCCCGTGGGCCTTTTTTTGTGGGGAGCTATTATCAATATAGAATACATCTCCTACAACACGTTATCACAGCACTTTTGCTCAACCCTAGTTTTTCCGTCCGCCACCCTCTCTCCTGTTCTTTTCTCCGCCTATCTCCACTGAACATCGCAGAGGAAAAGAACACCCATCGCCGTTCTCCTCTGCGATTCCCCATCGCGAATCAAATCGGAAGGACCCCGCCACCAGGTCTGCGATTCCCAACGCCTGAGTTTCCCGATCGTGAGGCGCAGACGACCGTGAGGGCCTAATCGGAAGAACCAGCACCAGAAATCTGTGTCAATCGGAAGTTTCTTCCCGTATCCCCGAAATCTCAGTCGATCGCACAGCAACGGAGGCCTTCTTACTGTCGCACGACCACAACCAGCAGCTCCCTTACTTTCGCACCTACGGTCCAGGTTTTTCCCCAATTTAATAATTGCAATTGAATTAAGATGCTTCTGTGCACTCTTGTGTTTGCCGTTTTTTTTTTGATCTCTATGTGATATATATGATGATTTATTTTAATCCATTATTTGTCATATATACTGATCTTGAAATTTCTTCTATAAGCATGAACCTTGATTTTGAAAAAAAAATGGTTTCTTTTCTGGTAGTTGTTAATCGCTGGTTTTAGATTCATGTTTACTGTGTCTGTGATTTGTGGTTTTCCCCAATTCTGCTATTGATTTGTTGAAAGGAAATAGCATGTTCGGATGCTTAAAAATTAAATGCACCGTCTTAAATTGTAATATTTGGGAGTCCCCATGGGCAGTAGATCATCAAAGAAATTATGGAAAATTTATGCAAGGCGTCTGTTATCGTTTTTGCTTGACCATTTTTTTGGGATTTTATGTGCATTGGAACTTGTATTTTTTTTTCTGGAAAATATGTAATAAATCTTTACATTAAATCAGTTTCCTTTTTATTTAATTTATTTTAATACATTTGGTATGTTTATTGTGGGTAATACATTCCAATGTTTTATTGTAATGGTGTAGTTCATTTTTCAACTCAAATAATTTACTCCCATTGTTGAAACTTCTTATACTCAAATTATTTTTTATGAAAAACTACACTACAGCTTTTGTCACACAAAAAAGGGGGGGGGGGCAAAACACTGTCTAGGGAATGTCTTCAAGTGAAGACACCAAACAAATTCCAAATTGAGTTTTATGACTCTAGTTTATGTGACTTTATATGTGATAATCATATAATGATAGTCATATTTAGTTCACGGCTATTGACTTCACGGAAAATTTTTTTAAAGTGGATTTGGCACAAATTGAAAATATACACTGTTTTTATGTGTTTACTCGATGGGTATTTATGTGTTTGCCATAATTGAATGACATATCTATTATTTATGTGCATGAAAATATTTTACCTTTTGAAAAATAAAACAAAACACAAAGGAGAGAGCATGAATTATATGAATAAAACTCTCATTTCAAGATATCAATTTGCTTATGATTGTTTATTTGCATTTTATCTTGAAATGACTGATCCCACTAGACCTGAATTTGACATCTTGGACTCAGAAGGACTTGAGTACCACCGCTGGGTTTCTGACGTAGAAATGACTTTCCTGGCTAAAGACTTCTCTGCCACAATTAAAGACCAGTGATATCTTAAAAAGTGAAAGCAAATGCTTTACTGTTCCTAAGGTGACACATTAACCCAAGTTTACGTTGGGAATATCTTCAGTTGAAAATCCCCAAAGAATTGTGGGATGCCCTTAAAGGATGTTTTGGGAACATTCATGATACTTTGCTCCCAGAACTGAATGCGCAATGGAATGAAATCCGTTTACTAGGCTATTTATTGCATTTTTAGACTATGTGGAATTGTTTTAAATTTGCATTCAATTTAAATAAATTAAGGGATTTATGCCCCTATTTTTTTGTATACATTGTGTGTTTCAATTCTATATGCACTTCTCTCCTTACACAGGCATGAATCGAGGTGAACTTGAGTGCTTAATAGATAGTGGGACTACCCATACCATTATGCGAAATAGGCAACTATTTGTTAACTTGGTAGCCTATAATTCATCTGTGACAACAATGATTGGGTCGTCACATGTAATTCAAGGACGTGGTACTGCCATTTTTTTTACTCCCTAATGGTACATTGATTAAAGCCATAAATGCTCTATATGCACCTAGAGCTACTCGAACCTTGTTAAGTTTCAAAGACATCCGTGACAATGGTTTTCATATTGAAACTCATTGTGAGAATAGTATTGAATACCTTTACATTACTTCTAATGAATGCGGAAGAAAGCGCATCTTAGAGAAGTTTAAGGGTAAGAGTAGTGGACTGTATATCACTACAATTCGAATAATTGAATCTTATTCTATAAGTCATGATGACATAAGGGATACTGAACGATATAGACTTTGGCATGATCGACTAGGACATCCTGGTCGTGACATGATGATTCGTATCCTAAAAACCTCTCACGGTCATCCTTTCTTTCGAGGCAAGAACAAAGCGACACTAAAACCCGACAGCTTGAAAAGCGGTCGGCCCAATCTTGCCCAAATGCGACAAATGCCTTCTAAAGAAATTGAAGCATCATCCTCGTCTCAAATAATTTTTTGACAATGTCACATGCCCACAAATCCTTTTGTAAAGCCTGCTCATTAGCAAAAATAGGATCACGACCATCCTATGCAAAAGATTCAAAAGAAAATATACCATTCCTACAACGGATACAAGGAGATATATGTGGGCCGATACAACCAGAAAGCGGACCATTTCGGTATTTTATGGTACTGGTTGATGCCTCGACACTTTGGTCACACGTTACATTATTATCAACAAGAAATGCTGCATTTGCAAAACTCTTGGCACAAATAATTCGTTTAAGGGCTCACCACCCGGACCACCCGATCAAGTCTATAAGACTTGACAATGCTGCAGAGTTTACATCTAAGAACTTTGATGATTATTGCATGGCCATCGGGATCGATGTAGAGCATTCTGTTCCCCATGTACACACGCAAAATGGCCTTGCAGAAGCAACCATTAAAAGACTACAAATGGTAGCTCGGGCATTGATTATGCGTTCTAATTTGCCCACATCTGCATGGGGTCATGCCATATTGCATGCAGCTTTACTTATTCGCTTGAGACCCACTGCTTCANCCTCGACACGTTGGTCACACGTTACATTATTATCAACAAGAAATGCTGCATTTGCAAAACTCTTGGCACAAATAATTCGTTTAAGGGCTCACCACCCGGACCACCCGATCAAGTCTATAAGACTTGACAATGCTGCAGAGTTTACATCTAAGAACTTTGATGATTATTGCATGGCCATCGGGATCGATGTAGAGCATTCTGTTCCCCATGTACACACGCAAAATGGCCTTGCAGAAGCAACCATTAAAAGACTACAAATGGTAGCTCGGGCATTGATTATGCGTTCTAATTTGCCCACATCTGCATGGGGTCATGCCATATTGCATGCAGCTTTACTTATTCGCTTGAGACCCTTTGCTTCACAACCATTCTCTGCCTACGAGTTGGTGACTGGTTATGAGCCTGACATTTCACACTTACGGATATTTTGTTGTGCAGTGTATGTGCTGATTGCGCCCCCACATCGCACTAAAATGGGTCCTCAAAGACGATTAAGTATTTATGTTGGATATGAATCCCCAACCATTATTCGCTACATAGAACCTTTGACAGGTGATCTTTTTACTGCTAGATTTGTAGATTGTCACTTTGATGAGACGGATTTCCCGTCGTTAGGGGGAGATAAGAAAAACCCTCCAAGCGAACGACAGGAAATATCGTGGTGTGTCCCCACACTGTCTCATTTTGATCCCCGTACTTCACATTGTGAAAGCGAAGTGAAAAGAATAATTGATCTCCAAAACGTGGCAAACTCGATGCCCGATTCATTTACTGATATTGCTAAAGTGACAAGATCACACATACCTGCTGCAAATGCACCTGCAAGGTTAGAAGTCCCAATTAAAAAGAAAAATGCCATAATGACAGGCATTACATCCACATCGAGTGGAAGTGTGGGTGAGGCCGTGGCTCCTCAAAGGAAGAGAGGAAGGCCACTTGGTTCGATTGACACTCATCCAAGGAAGAAAAGGACGAGTGCGGCACAAACTAATCCGTTACACATCGATGTTGAACATCCATCCCATGAGATTATCTCTGATTATAGTTATGTCCATGAATCATTACTGGAGGACGCTCCGATGTT